TATTCTGACAATATAAGCCTCTAGTCAGATTCAAGTATCTAACTAAAATGGTTAATATATTGATAAAATAGCCCTTCCTCTCCTCAAAATGGGAAACTGCTTCCAAAAATCACACTGTGCAGAATCAAAATTCATTATACAACTTTTCTCACCATTCAAATAAGAGCTACCAGGTAAGCAAATAAAAAAAAGAATTAAAAATGTACTGTAAGTCCGCTTTGTAAGTTTCATTTCTGAATTCTGCACAGTTGGATTCACAATAACCAAGGCTTTCAGCTCATACATTAAGGAATCTGAAGCACATTCAGATTTAAATGTTTAATATAGTATTTCCACAATGTGAGACATATTAAAGAAAGCTTAGTTAGAAGTCTCCAACATGATCTTTAATTAGTCATTGATAGCTTCAGCTATACAGGAACCATTAATCTCTCATGTTGTGAAACACACTGACAGCCATACAAACATAAAAGTGTCAAATATTATATACATACATATTCTTTTTTATATAAAGGGCGTCTAGGTGGATGGGAGGCTTCCTGAGGGGAATAAGTGAATTTAACGTTTCTGCTCCTGTGTTACAATAGTGAGTTTGCTGCTGACTGAGCAAAGACCAACAGTAGATCCTGCGATTCTACCCTAAGAACTAAGTAACAAATTCTGATGATGTGGTTAATGTTGTTTTGTCTTATCTATTCCTCAGGGATAATAAATACACACTCAAAAGCATTTTTATGTTGGTTCACTACAGCTACATCTATTCTAGCAATTTTATTGTATAAAAACATTAAGAAAAATAAGTACAATATCTTTAACTGACAGTACTACAACGAAGTTTTCAGCTTATGCTTGGCTTTAAGAAACTGGAGAAATATCTCACTGTTAAGTGTAAGCTAGAAGAGGATTTTGTATTTGATTTGATCTGATCTTTGTTTCCAATCTTGTTCCTAAGAAACCTGAACTTCTAATGAATCTTTTCTAATTTAAACGTCTTCTTTCTTACACTTCGTTAACAGGCTTGTCTTGTGTTGAAGTGAAACTGAGTAAAACAGTACGTACTGTCAATCCCAACTGGAGCGCTGTGCCAGCGCTTGAGACCCACACCCCTGCATGTGTGACAGCAACCGTGGATCTGGACAGCACCTTCTGACAAGATATAATGGCACGCATGTGAACTAGTGTTTCAGATAGTAAGTTTTGGGAAGGCCTTCCCAGCTCAAATCCTTTTCTGGCATATACCTGGCATTAAATAGCAAGAGGGACCAGCAACATTCAGTAGCTCCAGTCTCACCAGAAAACACCTGCTCCAAACAAGTCAGATACTGCATGTACTATTGTCCTTCAGAATGATGAGAGAACTATGACACAATGTATTCCTCCTCATGGACAGCTCCCATTTTTGTGCACTGGGAAATAACCTCCTTCCATTCACTGCTTCATAGATGTATTTAAAATGGAAACACTGATTTTTTTATATATTCTTGTATGTTTATTAAAATATTTTAGGGATATAATTTCTCTCTTTTGGTTTACTGGAAGAATATTACTGTTATCATCAATCATGCAACTAGAGACCAGCATGGAAAAGTTTAAAATAATCCCTGCATCATTGTGCACCATTTTCACAAGGCAAAAAGTAGTAAAAATATAAATTGACAACTGCTTTATAAAGTGTTCATAATATGTTCTTCTAGTATGCAAATCACAAACGTATTGCGCATGAAAGTACAAAAACAATGTTCAGGGGTTCAGGTTTTTAACCATATTTGTTATGCAGTTTTTTAGCTTGGAAAAAGCAAAAATGCCGCATTTCACCTTTGAACTTTTAGCAGGAAAAACTGATACTGGTAGCGTGCATGGAGTAAGGTACCGGTTTTGTGCAGTTATACAGGTTATCCTGTTTCTAGGCTTCCCTCGGGCTGCCGGGGACCTCAGGGGCAGCAGCCAGGGCTCGCAGCAGGACCGAGGCCTGGCCGCTCCTCCCTGTAGCACCGTGGGCACGGCGCTCCCGCAGGGGAGCGCTTTGGCGGCCTCCGCCAGGAGAACACCGGCGGCGGGTGGGACGGCCGCGCAGCGCCACCAAGCGGCGCCGGGCCTCCCGCACGCCTGTCACAGCCGTGTTTATCGTACTCCGGTCTCTAGGTCCCACCGCTCTTAGGAACTGCCGCACCACAGTCAACGTTCTGCCCCAGAGGAAGCCGGGCAGAACTACCAGAGACCCTGCACGCTGAGCAATTAAATCGGGTGAGGCGCCCATGACAGCGGGCTGGATCTAGATGATCTTAAGGTCCTTTCCATCCCAAACCACTTTGCGATTCTATGATGATACTCAATGTGCCTTAAACAGTACAGCCACCACACTCTACAGCCAAAGATACAGGTAGGAGCTTGGCAACTTTAGGTTTGTCATCATGGTTTGGGGGTATGAACATATGTACTGTGTGTGGAAAATCTTGGCTAATGTGGGGTTTTTTTCCTCTGCTAGCCCAAAGCATTTTTTTCAATGAAATTCCTGTATTTGGACTTCCGGGTGAAACAAAGAATCTGAAGGCAAGGAAAAAAGAATCTAAAGGTAGGGGAAAAAAGAACAGGGGTCAGGGAAGAGGGTATCTGAACATTACTGAGACTTGTATTAATTTTACAGTATTTTCTACAGATACCAATCCATTGGGAAAGCAACCTGTCATAAGATAAGCAATACACAAAGAGTATTCTGGGCTAGATTATTCTCTTATATTGGTCAAAATACAAAGATTCTGTGGAGTAGAATTCGTTCAGATCTGGTATGACTAAGAAGTGAAAAGGAAATCCAGTATACCGTGTAATATTTTGAAGCTTCTGTATTTTAGTTCAGCTTGCAGGCCAGCTTTCTGCATTCCCCTTCAAAGTCATTACATTTAAGTTTAGGTTTCAGAGCAAAAGAGGGAATAGATTTTACTACCCAGCAGTTGTACAATAAGTGCTGCTACATGAGGTTTATACACACACCCAAAGCTATACTGTCAGATTTCCTCACCTAATCATACAAAGGACAACATGATGTATCAAATCCAAGGACGTAAATCAGACTGCTTTGAGATTTTAGGAAAATATTTTGCATTATGAGCACAGAGATGCTGTTTTAAGTGATTGTGGCCAGGTTGTAAACAGACATTGTTTCACAGAAATGACGGTGGTGTAGATCTGTGGTTCTAGTAGGAAATGACAGAAAAAGTGTTTTCCTCATCAGTGGTTCACAAAACATCATTTAAGAAAATGCATTAGACAAAAATTAGCTTCTTTCTTGTTGAAGTATTATTTCTGGAGTTGGCAAAACAGGGCTGTAGTGGGGTTTGGCAGAGTAATAGTGTTGTGTTCAAAGAATTGGTGAAGTATTCCTCTCAATCCTGTGTATCAAAATATTAATCACAATTGTGACATACTTTTGCAACATCTTGAACACACACACACACACACACACACACACACATATATACACAGACAACACTAAAATGTTGTTCAAGCCATGGAACTTTGCAGTTTAAGATCTGATGGAAATCTGCATAACCCATCAATGAACATGTAATGCAGTCCTCAGCAAGACTGGGGACCAGTGCAGGCAAGGTTCTCTGAGGAAGGGCTGGGTCCGAGACACCCACTGAGGGAGGCAACCATGGGAAAAGGGTTTCTGGAAAGATACCTGGCAAGGGAGGGATAATGGGAAAAGAAAGCAGCAAATAGTATATAGAGAGAGCAGAGATTAGGAAAGAAATGGAGATGACAGGTGACTGCTACAGCGTGTGGTGCTACAAGGTAGGTAACGTAGGGTGTGAATTGTGACAGAGGCTGTACAGCACTTTGAAGGTGTGGGCAAAGACAGACGAACAGGGAATTGCAAAAGGGTCCTGAAGCTGAGGCAGTGCTTTGGCCAGGACTGTGACCTTAGTAACTTGAGAGTTTGAAGTGGCGTTTTGAGGACAAGGAGGTCAGAGGTTACACACTGAGACAGTGACAGCCTCTGCATGGTGTTTTTGCTCATGGTTTAGGGACGCCACAAAAACCCACCCTGCATTAACTAAGTTTTAATTTTCTCTGTAATTTTATACTTCAGCTAGCATGAGTTTTGTCGTCACCTGCCAAACCTTCACAATCTACTTTTGGCACAGCGTTTTTTAATTGGTTCTACTTGTTACAGAAAGTGTAATTACAAATAAAAGCTAACTCCTGGGTTTTGTTCTTACCTTGATCCTTCTCTTCAGCAGCACTACAGAGATAGATTTTGTAAGTATACATACAGGTAACACCGTGTGTACGTGTACCTGGCGGATCCCTTCAGGCACGCTTCCGGCCTTTCCCCCCATCTCAGCCCCGCTGAAGCCCGCTCCCGCCGCCCGCTCTGGCTGGGCCAACTCTCGGACCCACGACCGCGCCCCCGCCCCCGCCCCCGCCCCCGCCCCCGCCCTCGCCCTCGCCCTCGCCCTCGCCCTCGCCCTCGCCCTCGCCCTCGCCCTCGCCCCTCCCTGGGGCCCGGTTCCGCGCTCCTCAGCCCCGCCGCCAGATCATGGCCGCCGGCGGCCGCGGCCTCAGCTCTCCAGCCAATGGCATGCCTCCCTGCTCCCACCGCCGGCCAATGAGAGCTGTTTGTTTCCCTAAGTTCCAGCGCGTTCTTCCGGTTGAGAGAGTGACAAGTGCGTCACAACCGCCCCATTGGTTCTGCCCCGGAGATGGACAGGCTCTCAGGCCAATCCTCGTGCCCAGGGCGGAGCACTCAGCACCGCCCACCCCGCGTCGGGCAGGAGAGGCGTCAGCCTAGAGGCACCCTGGAGCTGGCGGGGCCTGTGATTGGCCGGCTGTGCCTGTGCCGCCCCGCCCTGCGGAGCCCTCCCGGAAGAGCAGGGCGGCGATTGGCCCAGGGGAAGGCCGGGTCCGGATGTGCGATACGGAGGGGGCGGGCTTTAAGTGAGGCTCGGCGGGGGCAGGGGGTAGTGGTGGTGGTGGCGGCGGCGGCGGTGGTCGGCGCGGCAGGGCCGTGCGTGCAGCGGAGCGGCGGGAGCCTCAGCGCGGGTGAGCCCTCCGCCATCACCTGCCTGCGGGCCGGGCCCGCCGCGCCCCTTGAGGAGCTGCTGCCGCGGGGCGGCTGCTGGCCCGGCCAGCGCCGTGCCTCATGGGGGAACCGGCCCGGCCCGGCCCTGCCGTCCGTCTCGTAGGGCATCCGCGGCACCTCTCCTCAGGGGACCGTGCGGTGGGACGAGCAGCGGCGCTCAGGGCTCCCTGCGAGCGGCGGCATCCTGCGGCGCAGGCATCGCCGGGACTGACGGGGGAGTTTCGCTCGGGGCTCTGGAGAACCGTCGTTTTAGTTCTCCATCTGATAGTCCCCGGAGAGCCAGGTGTCCGGTGGGAGCCGGCAGGTCACTCCTCGCGTCTTCTGCTCTGCTGGCTGTTGAGTAAGGGGCGGCTTCGCTGGCGCAGGTTATGGTTCCTGTAGAGGTGGGTTAGGGGATTGAAGTCACAGCGGCAGGTGTGGGGCTGAAAGCTGTAATCCAGCTGCGAAGGAAAAGTCGGCAAACAGGCTTGACTGGCCAACGCTCCTGCTGCTGCCAGCGTGCCTGCAGCCTTCTGCGGCCGCTGCCTGTCCGGTGGGCCCGGTGTGGGCTGATGAGGTCCCTGGGCCCGAAGGAGACCAGGAGTGGGTGTGCTGAGGAGAAATCGGTTCTGGTGCAAACGGACAGTTACAGTTGCTGGGCAAGTAGGAAGGTTCTTATCTGCTGCTCTGCCTTGTCAGCTCTCTTTGTTCTCAGGTGTAGGGGTGGTGCAATTCAGGGAATAAAATGCATAAAAACGTACATGGAAACTTTATATTGTATGTTTATCTGTATTTTCTTGTTTGTTTTCTTCTCGAGGAATTGTTTAGGGGTTTTCCAGAAAATACTTACAAAACTGCTGTGTTCCGGGCAAGATGAAGTTTTGTCAAACTGATTTAGTGTTGTATTTAATCTAATGACCCTGCTGATGATAGGGGAAAAATATGACACGTAATATGGAAGTAGGTGTAAACAGAGGCAATCTCTGATGAGAATACTTAGTGGAGACAGAGTGTGCAAAAGCAGAGTACTTAAAATGTTTGGTTTTATTACTAATAACTTTGGTTTGTGAAGTATCTTGGAGACATGATGAAGCACTGCATGAGTTTAACTGGTGTCTTGTCCTGTGTATGTCAGTGCTGGTGAGGGTCAGCATAAGGCTGTTCTTGGTGACAAGTGGCTTTCCTGGTCTGGTTGGCAGGACCTGAGCAGTGCAGTGCTGGGTACAAGCTTGAAGGCCTTTCAAAGGAGAAGTGTTTGAAATCCACGTTCGTGTTGTCTTTTTTAATTGCTGTTGTCCTAGAAGTAAAACACTAGAGAAAAAGATACCCATAAAAAGCCCATGGGAGGAGGGTTGCTTAGGAGGGTTGCTGTTACTTTCTGTTCCTGAAGTAGCAGGAATTAGTAGAACACATAAATGAGTGGCACACTATTAAGCCTCCTATTAGTTGATGCAGTGTGACTGACGACTGTGCAAGGAGGCAGGGTGGTGATTTTGAATGCATTTATTCCCTTCTCATAAAATGAGGGGAGTGTTTCGGGTTCTGTTGGGAAGCTGGTGGATTCAGTAGTTACAGCACAGTAAGATGCTGTACTGATAGGAACCTTATAGTAAACGTTGTAGCCCTGTGCAGGGTTGAATGGCTACCCTGCCTAGAAATTCCACTTAACCATACTGGGACTTTGCTCTCTTTGTCTGCTGCAGACCTTCACCATAATGAGAAGTAGGATAAGCAATCTAACTTAAATGTGTCGTTACTTGGTAATTTTTTAAATACGTATATTTATTCTTGTGATTAATTGCAAGGTATTAAATTGGGAAGTGAAGGCACTAGAGAACATAATCAGTTGCAGGTAAGTTTCCTGTACTGATACCATTCTCCACTTCCGTGTAGCATGGCTGGAAGGAGTGAGTGTGATTAGAAATAAACAAGCTCTAAAACACCTTGAAAGGCTTTTTAAATTACCTTCCTCTGGGAAGCTGGTACTCTGAGGTTTTTAGTTTTCCATCATAAGTAGTATTTTAACAGGCGAATGAGACAGGAGGCAGTGTTAACAATAAATTTAGGATAACACCAATGCAGGACTTATTACTGGCAAGCAGCTGGACAAAAGATCTGTGAGTAGGCAAATCTCTGGAAGTTATTCTGTAGTTGAACTAGAACTAAATCAGTGTTTTATTTGGAGAAACAAACAGCTCTTAATAGCCTGTAAGTAAGCAGCTCTGTAATAAAAAGCTTCTTGACAATGCTGGAAGTGTGCTGAGATGCAGAGCTGCTTTCTGCAAGGTGGAGTCAGTGACTGAATTCCATCTAGCACCAGTTATCAAGCTTCTAAATCAGTTCCCTGTTTCACTGGTATGAGGCTGGCCTGCTTTTTATGTACGTACTTCACTCTTTGGCTTGCTCAAACTCCTGTATCTCATATCTGTGATTCTGGAATAATACAATTTTGTATTACTTAGTCTTAAAAAAAAAACCCGAACAACAAAAAACGCCCAAAAAAACCCCACCAAAAACCAGAACACCAGCCCAAAACAAACAAATGAATTTACCCAAACCCCATAATCAGTCCAGATTCCAGTTAGTTGTCTTCCAACCTGTACATCAGCTTCCAGCACTTTTCTCTCTTGTCAGAGCCATAGCACTTGGTGCTCTTGTGCGTCAGTTCCTCCACCCTCTGATTATGCTGGAGTTTCCCAAGGAAGTGTCTTGCACCTTCCTCGCCCAGCGTCTCTGCCTTACTTAGTCTGGCAGGGTTTCATGGAAGAGAAAAGGCCCAGGGCATAGCCTTCTGGCATGGCTCTGTTTCCCAGACATGAGGTGGGGAAAAGTGAAAACAGCTCTCCGCTGTCACAGGGCATGGCCAAGCAGCAGCCATGCTGTGACTGATTTCAGTGGCTTGGAATGATGTGAGACTGGCTGCTGAACAGGAAAAATATCTGGAGGAATTGTGTACTGGAATGTTTGAGATCATTTTGGAGTGGGAAAATGAATTATTTTTCATCACTTTTCTGAATGGTGCTTGCATATTTTGAATGCTTGGCTGATTTATAGTCTAGAAGGATACCTATGATTTGTTCTAAAAAAGACTTTACCGTTGCTAGACTTTCTTTGTATAAATTGTCTGTCTTAAATTGCCATCTGTTTCCCTTTTAGGAAGATCTTTGGTTGTTACGTTACTATTTTTTTCTATAATTAAAGCAATGGGTGAACAGGTAGTGCCTTGCTTACGGTAGAAAACCTTAGAAGCCTGTGCCATTCTCTCTCTCACATCCTGTAAATCGCATTGGTCAATGTTGTACAAACTTCCTATTAAAGAAACTGAGTACACTGAATTGCTTCAAAACCGTAATGTAGCCAGAAGTAGGAGGGTAGAAAGAGGGGAATGGAAACTAGGGGAACTGGAGAGTGTGAGGGGAAGAAGAGAGAGAACAGTGGAGGAAATAGGCTGTGCTAGACAAGAGGTGTTGTAGAGAAGAGTTCTCGCACAAACAGTAGTAAGATGGAGCGAGAAGAAAAGGGGAGAAAAGAAAGAGAGCAGACTAAGACCATATACAGTAGGTGGCACACTGAAACTCTTTAAGAACTTCAGGTCCTTGATACTGAATTGCTGGAGCAGTTCAGTAAAAAGCACTAAGCCTTTGGCTTGTAATGAAATCATTAAATGAGCTACAGAAAAACTTCTGTGTTCTGTGCCTTTGTCTATTCCTGGTGGTGTTCCAGTGCAGATGAAAACAGAATGACACACACATGATGCAAACTCAATGGGAGGATCATCTCTTTCACTGGGAATGGGCAGAGATGTTTTTAAACTGAAGTGCTTCAGAAGCATGCAAAGTCAGCAGCGTGTGTGAGGGACAGCATTTACCCATGCAGCAACAATAAGCTGTTCTAGAACTGTCTGGGGCTGGATGCAAATGGTGAAGTGGCAACTTCTTAATACTTTTGTGTATAGGGGATCTTTCTTGACTGTGCTGAGCCAACAGATGGTCTTTCTTTCCAGTTGACAAGACAAAACATGGGATGCAGAATCTGGAGTGTCTTTCTAGCAGAAAGGCAGGAATTCATGTGTGAAAATGATTTCATAGACAACTGTGTTATTGTCCTGGAGTCTTAGATATAATAGAGCTTTGGCAGTTTTAACTATTGTCAGTCGTAAGTGTGTAAGACTTTTGCTGAAATTGCAGAAATATAAAGATGGCTGCAGAATTAGATCCAAATCCTATTTATATACTGAGTCCTGTTTATCTGTTAGAATGACTATCATTCTATGTTTTTTTTTAGGGTATAAACCGGAGGAGCCTGAGGATACTCTGAAGACACTGAAAAGTTGTGGTTCTTTATTTGGAATACACGTTATGAACCCTTTCTGGAGCATGTCTACAGGTTCTGTGCGCAAGGTATTTAATGAATGGATGGCATGAGGTGTTAACATGCATTGAGGGGTGGCAGCAGTTCTGGAAAAGACCATCAGACAGTCTGCAAATACAGCTGGAGTGTGTCTTTTATCCCCAGGATTGTGACCTCTTCGATAAAAGTGTAAGCTAGCTCTGAGTAACACTAACTGGAATGTGCCTGTGGATGGAGTTTGCTCCAGAATTTGTTGACTTTTCTTGTCTGAAGCATCTTGACATAAGAAAGATGAGACAAACTTGTTCAAATGTCCTTGTTTCTTAGGACATTTGCTTACTGTCTTCTATAGAGCTTAGCCAGGTATTGCACGTGCAGTGAGCATTGACAGAACTGTGCCTCCATAATGCTATTGCAGGCTTAGATTGTAGCAATGATAAAAGCATGATAGTTCCAGGGTTGGTCACATCTCTCACATTCAGTGCTAGGGCAAACTCTATAACTGTGTTGATGGTGCTTGTGACATAGGTATTGTTACTAGTCTAAACCTAAACTGCTTCAAAACACTACAGCTTAAATCATGCCTTTTGTCACCACAGCCAGCCTAATTGTGAGTCTGTAGGCTGCAGGTTTGTCTTTGCAATCCGTAGAATGTTTCTGAGGTCTGTACACAGTACAGTGTTCTCTAGCACTGTAGCACTGACTGAGTAGAAATGTTTTTTTTTTTTTTATATAAAAGATGGTATAGGCATGAAAAGGTTCCTATATCCTAACCTCTATTAGGATTTACACTTGATATTGCTGTCAAATGTGATTCTCTTGCAGTGGGAATGGGCTACATAAATCATTTCCAGGCAGGATGCTGGTGCCTTATGCACAGGCAAGAAGTAAAATGCATTAATTTTTCTGTGGAAAGTTCTTATTTAATCTCAGCATTACTAGCCTACTCTTAAAGACTAGAATGCAAGGAATTGTGTCAGTAGAAATAATTTATCTTGATGCACCGTGTGCTAGAAATAGATTGACTTCTAAGCTGTTATATGTTGTTTCCAGTTTCTAGACGAATTTAAGCCTCCTTAATTGTTTGTCCTAATCTGCAAATTTCCTGTCCAGCACTGACTATTTTTGTACTTGTAGGCTAGGTTTGATTGAGTAGTCTATTTAAAACCAGAATGTAAAAGAGACGCAACCCCTGCCCCAAGCACTGAAATCCAAGGTATATTTTGTTGGCCAAACTTGTAATCAGCCCGGTTGGGTTTAAACTTGTATTAAAACACGTTCAAATATTAAATGTTTATGAAATATAACCTCTAATATGTTGGTTCTCTTTAACAGAGACCTGATGCTGAAGAGAAAACTTTGAGTGGAGAGGTACGAACCAGTCCTCTACGAGCCTCTGCAAAGAAACAATTGCCTTCTATTCCAAAGAATGCTGTGCCAATAACCAAGCCTGCTTCACCTGCCATGTCGTCCCAGTCAACAAATGGAACACACGCTTCCTATGGGCCATTTTATTTGGAGTATTCCCTACTTGCAGAATTGTAGGTTTTCTCTTTTTTGTCTTTTTTGGGGCACTGGGCTTATGCTTTGGGGGGGGGGGGGGTGTGTGGAACATGCAGGAATCTAGTTTTTGCATCATGTCTCTGCCATAGTCCTTGAAGAAGGCAGTAAATCTTAAATTCCACAAAATTATTCTTCTGGAGCAGCAGCCCCATTATCTTGAGATAGAAGAGGAGCAGTAAGTGAGATGAGATTTTAAGGGGTGTGTTTAGATGTTATTCTCTGAATTATTATATTTCTCAGCCTTGAAGTAAACACATTTTGGGTTTAGGCATCCTGACCAGTTATCCTGATAGATGGTCAGAAATACTGAAATTTTGAAACAAGTATTAGACTAGACGTGAACAGCTGTCTAGTGGGAAGATGGTTATTAATGTATGGCTAGTGGAGCTGGGATTTGGGAACTTCCTTCAGTTATTACATGGAACACTTGAATGCTGCCTGATACGGATATTAGGAAGACTATATTGTCTCCTGTCTTTCAGTGATGTTTAACATCAAACTTATGAGGGATTTAAATAGCTTTCTTTGGATCAGCTGCGTTTGATCCAATCTAGTAGTTTCTGGACAGCTGTGGGAGCATACAAATCTGTTTGTCTGCAAAACTTTCTAGTTCTGTAAAGTTACATAAACTGTTCTGTGCTACAACGCTAAAGGGACTTCCTCTGTAATAGACATACTGGATTCTCAAGTATGTAGTGCCTTTTGGAATGGAATCCCTGGAGTCCTTATGCAATGCTAAGTCTCATTTCTTGCATTTAACCATTACATGGAAAGTGAGAACTCTTCAAACATTAATATTCTTTTTCAGGGAACTGACACTGACTTCTTAATTCAAGAAAGATGTTTTTCTTCTGCATTGAAGGAGTAGGAAAAGTGAGAGGGGAAGAACATGGTTTCACTAGTTTTCTGCCAGCTCCTGTGAGCTGTCTGCCCTTGGGAACTCAGTGTACATTTGTGGAACGAGTTAAGCTGTGTTAAGTTATTGGTAGTATACTCTGGGTTTACTGTTGTGTTTACTGCTTGCTGTGAATTTAGTGTAGTTGTGGAGCTGTTCTAAATGCTGATTCTAATTGCAGTACCTTGGTTGTAAAGCAGAAATTGCCAGGTGTCTATGTGCAGCCATCTTACCGATCAGCATTAAGTAAGTTTAATCTTAACTTTTTAAAATTTATTTATATATATATTAAAATTCTTTCACTCAAGCAAACTTTCTCACTTGCAGTGTGGTTTGGTGTAATATTCATAAGACATGGGCTCTACCAGGATGGTGTGTTTAAATTTACTGTCTATATTCCTGATAATTATCCAGATGGAGACTGCCCGGTAAGTGGTTGTGTGTGTTTTGAGTTTTTCTTGTTTCATAGTGTTTTAGTATGACTTCTTGTTAAAGCTAATAGACCGGTTAACTTCTTATTTCCTTGAGCTAGGATTTTTTTTTTTCCAGTTGGCTGTGCTCATTTTCAATGTCTTACACGTATTTCCTAACATCTGTGGAAGGATCATGTTTCTCTGATTACTGAGGCTGGTGTAGAGTGGACTTCCTGAGGTTACATGCATTGGAGTATTAAGTAATCAACCAGTTTTTTTACCTCAACTCTTGATCTGCTGCTTCCCCAGCAAGGCAGTTAAGATTGAAACAATGAAAGAAGTATCCAGATTCTGAGTAGCAACACAATGGAACATAAAATCCAGGCACCTGTGCTGTGCTTTCTGTAGTACTGCAGAATTTCTTGCCTGTCCTGCTTCTAAATTATGTTAAAGAAATAAAGAACTTGAGGAGAACATTGGTGAGACAAAAGAGGAGGAGATCGGTACTGTGGTGTTACCTACTTTCTTTTTCCCTTGAGGAAAAAGCATCCAAGTTACTACATCAGTTAAAAAATTTTGTGGCAATCTTACTGTCCAGAGCAGAGCAGCCAGCCCTTTCAGCCAAACCTCTTCAAGAGGAACACTGGGTGTGTGTAGATGCTGTAGCTGAGAACAAGTTGCAATGCTGTGTGCTTGGTGTCAAGTTCTTTGTAAAGCTGTCATTAAAAGAACATAAGTAGTAGGAAACAGTTTCTTTCAAAGATTAGACTTTAGTATGTCTCATACAGCCATTGTTGTTTTGCTCCCATAGGGCTTTCAAACCTTCCTGCTGAAACTAAGTTTTGTTTTGGGGGAATACACAAACATTGGAGGAAACTAGCTGTACAGAACTGAAAATACTGTGGTGGCACTGCAGAGCTTACTTAAAGACATGTAGGACAGAAAAATAATTGATTGTAGCCCAAGTATATGAAAAGCTTTCAGTCACAAATATCTAAATGACAGAAACTCCTTTAATCTGATCTTAATCTGCTATTATTACCTGTGTTGGCACTAGTGTCTGTGCAGCTGGCTGGATTAGTTTCCTGATTTGGTGATAAGCCTGAGAGGGAGGACAAGACCCTGCATGTAATGTGGGTGTGTTGGATTACTGTTTCACAGCTGATAAAAATCACTTCAAGTTGCTTTCTTTTAGAACAGTAACAATTAATTAGTATGTGGAAGCAACATCTGACTGACCATCACCTGGTGGTTTTAGCATTAGGATTGAAGTTGTCATAATGAATTTCTTTTTTTTTTTTTCTTTTCCCAATGCAGCGCTTGGTTTTTGATCTGCCTGTCTTCCATCCACTAGTAGATCCTTTGTCTGGTGAACTGGATGTGAAAAGAGCATTTGCAAAGTGGAGGTTAGTGGTAACATTTGATACATGATCTGAAAGACACCTGTTCCTTTCTTCATTGTGTTTTGTTCTTTCTAGACGAAATCATAATCATATATGGCAAGTATTAATGTATGCTCGCAGAGTCTTCTACAAGATTGATACAACTACTCCCCTGAACCCTGAGGCTGCAGTGCTGTAAGTATCTGCCATGCATATAGGCATGATCTCTTAAGAGTTTTTTTGCATAGATATGCAGAAGCAAGAGGTTTGTATTTGGTTTCATTTCTGGAAATTATCAGTTCAGTCTTTACCTCCAGAGTTGGTTGCACTAGGAACTAAAGTTGAGGTTCTGCCAAGTCTTCTAGAGCTTCTAGAGCAAACATGTTACAGCTTGCAGCTACTTAACATTACTTACTGCCCTATTGCAGGTATGAAAAAGATATTCAGCTGTTCAAAAGTAAAGTGGTGGACAGTGTCAAACTATGCAGCAGTCATTTATTCGATCAGCCCAAAATAGAGGATCCATATGCAATCATGTAAGTACCATGAGCAAATTCACTGTGTCGTAATGTTTCAAGGTTAAGTTTTGATACCGTTGTTGGTTTGAAGCCCTTGTCTGCCAAGTTGATTGAACTGGTTTTTTTTGTTACATTTATAGCAATACTTGGAGTAGTCCTACCTGCCCTCATTTCCTTCTGTTCAGTATTGCATAAATCTTAAATGCAGGCACTTGATTTTACTATGTCTTTCACTAAGTAACCAGGACTTAAAAATGCCTCAGCAAAATCCCCCCCCCCCAAAAAAAGCCCCCAAGCACTCCACCTCAACTCAAGTAGAGATAAGATGGAGTAAATACTGCTTTTGGGCTTTCCTGAATTCAGTTTGCATGACTGTAGCTTTGGTCATACTTTTAAAATACTTATGACTGTATGGATGATGGGGCAGTCAGCTCCAAGGTGAATATGAATAGTATCTGATGTAATTCCTGCTGAATTGCAAGTTCTCATGGCAAACAAAATGAAAACGTAAATATTTCTTGTTGAAAAGATCCATGATAATGTGAATTTAGTTCTTAACTGTATGTTTTAACACTGAAAAGTCAGACTTGTGATTTACTTGAAAGTGAACAGACTAAGTCAAGGAAAATGGCTGTTTTCTGCTCTGTCAATTCTGTAGTCTGCAAAAATGCACAGTTAAGAGGGAACTGTTCTTTCTCCAGTTTTTCTCCATGGAATCCAGCTATACATGATGAAGCTAGAGAGAAGATGTTGTCTCAGAAGGTACGCACAAAGTCCAGATTCTCACAATAGGAAGTTTATTGCCTGATAAGGGAGGAAAGGTTGTTTGTGCTGAAAAGGTAGTAGTCAGACCTTATTCCACCCCTCGTTTGGATCAGTAGGCATGCTGGAACTGATTTGGTCTCCTAACTACTTACGTCACTGTTCTAACTTCAGTGTGTTAAGCAGTTAATCATTGAGCCAGCTAGAAGGCTTTGTTAGTACAGTTGTTGGCACACTTCGGAGATTTTTTTTTTTGTTTAGGGATGGAAGGGAGTGAAGAATGGGAAAGAAAAGGTTTGCTGACTGCCTGTTAGCTTGTCCTGCACTTCTTGTGGCCATTACTACTTCTGTGTAACCCAGCAGTCCCCAACTTTGTTCTCTTCTGCTGAGAGATCTTTTGTTACTGAAGCAAAGCTTTGGGGCTTTCTTCTCGTTCCAAACTTTCTGAAGCAGAGTACCTTGCTCACACCTCTGACACTACTGATTTTAAGTAAGGGAACATCAGGGAATTGAAGGGTGCTTAGAGTGACTTCTGTCACTAAGCTCTTACACTAATATGGCAAGAATGTATTGGTTTGAAGAGTTCTCACCTGAGTAACACCTTTGTTTTGTGGGGAGGGAAGTGTTTGGTGGTTTAGGTTTAGGTTTATTTTTTTTATTGTGCTTGACAAGAACTGTCATTGATCCTGAGTGCCATGACAAGTCAATCCACTTGCAGAGCTAGTGAGTCTGAAATGGTAGCTGGTATCTTTGCTGGACTGGCAAGCAAATGCACACTGAATGCTTTAGTTGCTGACTTAGCCTCATTGCATTAGTACTGTGGGGTGGTTTGCTGCATTTTTTGTAGTTAAATATTTTTTTTCAGTAGGCCAAACTTCAGTCTTCCTCATGCTTTAACTCAAGTACTTCCATGTCTTCTGGCATGAATGGCATTTTTGAGTGTATTGATCTTAATACAATACACTGCCAGTGAGCTCAGTGTAGCTATGTTTCCAGCTGCAAGAGTCACATCAGGGCTTGAGGTGAGGTGGCCTTTCTCCAGCCTTAGAGCACAAAGGAAAATATTTTGATCAGATTCTGACTTTTTTGTGCTCTTAAAAAGAAATTTAAAGAATACTTTTGACTACTTTTCCCCTTTCTCCTTCATTCTCTACCTCCTTCATTCTTATCCTTTGAATCAAAAACATACAGGGAAGGGACAGGTTGAAGTGGTTGAAATGGAAGGGATATGATATTGTCTGAGACTTATAGCAAATGATGACTTTGTTTTTTCTTTTTGTCCTTTGGAGATGCATGTTAATTCCTTTTAAAGTGAAAACGGACATCTTCAACTACTGCATGTGTGGTACAAGTAGTTTGCTGATAGCAAGAATGGCCCACCTTGTGTGGTTTAGGAGATTTGTACCAAACGGTCAGTGTAGCTGAGAACTTGAACTTTAGCCCAGGGCAGGCTGTGATGTCCCAGATCCCTGCTGAGCACAGGGCTTTTGCTAGATGATATCCTTTGTGTAACATGTGATAGGCAGATGCTACTTTGCCAGGTTAAAGTTTAACTGATCCTTCTCGCTTGCTGCTGTCTGATGTCTTACGGCAATTCTGTCATGCACTGTCACCTTTTACGGAAGACACTGGGAGGGACAGAAGTGCAAGATCAGTTTTCTTTCTGTCTTGATTTACTTTGTCAGGCTTCCCATAGTATGACAAAGTGTACTCACAAAATTACTGCTTTCTAGAACTCGATGCATCATTCCAGTTTGATGTAGTTGGCATCTGATGAGCCTCTAGCAGTGTGGAGGCAGGGCTGGCTCCTGGTATGCAAAGAAAAGCAGCAAGCTATTCTGTTTCTTTGTGTTGGAGAAGGTATCTTATTTACTGGTCATCTTAAACTACTTCAGATCTACAGATGCTTGAAGTTACATCTCTCTCCCTCAACTTGAAGCCTGCCTTTTTTTTCTTTGTCTTCTAAATTGCAGTAATTGGTCTCAAGTGTTCAGTGCATTGTGTTGAGTAGAAATAGTTACTGTTGAAATGTTTAACCATGAGTGCTCAGGGAAGGGAAGGACCATCTTTGGAAAGCATTCAGAAACTCCATGATACAGGAAAAGTGTCACTTGCTGCTTTGCCATATTGATTTGTATTTGGAGGACTTCAGTGGGGTGGAGTACTTCACAGCATGCCAGCACACTGGGCATACCCAGCATAGCAAGGTAGTATGCTATGGATATATTGTCAGGTTAATGATAGAAACGTTTTGATTTGGATTGATGTTCCTTTCTGTAGAACCAAGAAACTTGGCAAACAGCAGTGCAGTGGTGCTGGGTCATGTTGTTCAAGCAGAGGGCACTACTCAAAGCATGTCTTTTGATCCTTACGGTGTGATAGGGTAGCAGTACATGAATTAAGTCACTGAAACTCTCCTGTAATGTCAGCATGGTTCTACAGTTGCCAGAAATGAAGCCAATAGATATTTTTCTGTCCCTCTTTGAGGAGAGGAAATGATGTTAGCCTCTGCTATGCTTGTATTTGCCAATGGATGGGGAGGGACTTACAAGGGACCTTACTTATTAGGTATCTGATGATTCTGACTTGAATTTTCTTCTGCCTAGAAGAAGCCAGAAGATCAGCACTGCAAAAGCATGCATGTTTCTGGCCTCTCCTGGGTAAAGCCTGGCACAGTTCAGCCTTTCAGCAAAGAGGAGAAGACAATGCCTACTTAGCTCTTCTGGACAATGGTGCACAAAACACTTTCTGTGGGTGGAGGGAATGTAACAGAAGGAGAAACAGCAAAGCAGCAGTTTCCTCTTAACTATGGATTAGTAAAAACTGAATGGTAGCAGTGACTCCAGTAAACCTGTTCATTGGATTACTGACTCTTAAGGTTTTACATATGCATTAGGTTTTAAAGGCTTGCCTGGAGTTTGGAAGTCTCTCTTGAACACTGACTGACTGCAGTGCTTCTACTTGAAGACTGTCTATGGTGGGTAGTTCCTCAGGGCTCTGAAATGCCTGGAGGCTTTGGGTTGGTTTTTAAGCTTTTATTTTTTCCCTCCAGGAATAGCAGGTTTTTTTTAAATCTTAAATTACTGGCAGAAATATTAGTATTGGAGATATGATGCCAGAGGTAAGCTGTGTTCATGTAAACTAATATAGCAGAGTTAAACATTATATTTAATGGTTTTAAATACTTTTGGTTTCTATTGTAAATATATTAGGATTTGAAATTGTAAATAGGCGGTTCATTGACTTCATTTAGCACTTTCCTGAGATAAAGCTGGGGATGATGTATGATATATTATTGATATGTAAATGATACTGTCACTAAAGCGCACATTAGTTTGATAGCGTGAAAGCAGAATGACAGGCTTCTTACTTTTATTACATTAACACTAAAATCAAAGCTTGTAATGGTGGTTTCTTGAGCTAATAAAATCATACAGAATTTTAGATTCCCTAGCTGTCTAGGGGAAGGGGATTACTTAGGATAGCTTGACTAATGTGTGTTAACAGTGACATCTTAAAATAAAAAGAACTTGTGATCTTGCTTTTGTCCCTTTCTTTGTCTATGTTGTAGATCTTTAGCAAAGATGAGCTGGTACGGAAGCACCTGGTTACATATGCATTCACTTGCATTGTGTGTTCAGGATGTTACTGGATAACGGGGTGTTACATACTGAAAACACTGGATAATATTTTTGATCCATATACAGGGAAACCTTTCTAAAGCACATGTGAGCTCAGGGAGGCTTCCTAATGCCGAAGCCTAGCATAATGCGTTATTCTTGCCTAATGGGATTTTCCTATCAAAACTTGTAATGTTAACCCTTTGCAGCTGGGCTGCCTTTCTGTGGCTCCTCATGCCTGTACTGACGGTGTTAATGCAAACCCTGCTATCTAGTGACAACTAGCAATAACTTCATGTATAAATGCAATGAGGTGTTTGGAGAGTGTGGGGAATGCTGTGCTGTGTGTTTTGGGGGGGTTCTGTCTTTTGCTTTTATCTGACAGGCTAAATCTACTTTTGTCAAAGGGAGGAACTTCTTAGCCCTTAAAGAAACAGTTATGTCACAAGTAATGTGCTCTCACACATCAAATGAGTAATTTCATGTACTGTTAAGGATGACGTAATTTCTGTGCAGCACTTAACACTGTATAAAAGAAGTACTTTACTCTGTTTTAGGTACTGTTGAAATTTACTGCATGATGTTGCTTTAAATCTTTTAGAGCTTCTGCCTTTGAGGTGCATCAGTTTCCTGGGGCTGCCTGGAGTGTCTCTCCTACTGCTGGAATTCCTCTTAAGGCACAAGAATTCAGAGGGTGTGTGGAGAGCAAGGAAGGCACAGAAGGAATTGCACCCAGAGGTGCATTTATAGAATCATAGAATAGTTAGGGTTGTAAAGGACCTTAAGATCATCAAGTTCCACCCCCCCTGCCATGGGCAGGGACACCTCACACTAAACCATGCCACCCAAGGCTTTGTCCAGCCTGGTCTTGAACGCTGCCAGGGATGGAGCATTCACAACCTCCCTGGGCAACCCATTCCAGTGCCTCACCACCCTCCTGTGGTTCGTCTTTCCTCTTTAACTCCTCTCATCTTTTATAAAGTGTCTGTTACAGGAATGAAGTTCTTGACTGAATGCTGAAATGTTCTTTCTAAACCTTCATGTAGGTTCAGGCCCTATGGATTAGTACAGCAGATTTAAACCTAATTTAAACGCACTGGGGTATTCATCGTAAGCTGTATTGATAGTGGTGCAGATCTTCCAAAAGGCCATTTTTTGCCAAGTTTGAATGAATCACTGGGTAAGATGTCTGTGACTTGGCATGGTTTGTAGGGCAATTAACTGAGAGTAAAGTCAGTTTTTACCATCTTCAACACAGATCTGTCTCCTCTAGCTTGGAGCTTAATCCAACTTTGTTATGAGGCTGAGAAGAAGATGCATTGAGGCAGTGGCATTTCAAAATGGGTATAGCAAAGCCAGCAGACTTGGTGTAGGATTTTGTGCTGTTTGAGTCCTGAAAACAGTGGCTGCTGTGAGGAGGAGCACTGTGATCTGTTTGTGCAGCAGTGCTAGAAACCAGCACCAGCTAGGTAACACCGAACTAAATGTTACTTTCTTGCAGGTGAGGATGACATGTTGGAACAAAATGTTCAACTCAAACCTTGAAATAAGCCTGTGGAAATCATGGATTTGAGGTTTTCTGGTGATTTCTTCTTCTCCTGTTCCAACCCCTTTGGAAGGAAGGAGCAGGAGAAGACCTGGGACTGGAAAGAACTTTGCTATGAAGTGTTTTTGAAGGGAGGAGGGGGGTGGAACCCACACCAAAACCAAATCAAAACAGAAACACACACCCCACCCCCCCCACCCCAAACAAAGGAAAAACAAACAAAACCAAAGTTAGAAAAACAAATCCATAACATAATAAATGTTTGAGTCCTGCTTCAGATCAAAGCTTTTGTTAATGTTCTCTTCCCTGCAGCAGGAACTTTCTACCCCTTTATTTAAAGATGGTTTTTCTAACATTGTTTTTGCATTCTTCATCTTTCATGCTCAGGGTACTTAGTTATTTTGTAAGAACAGGACTGGAGTGGCAGCCGTAACTCTTTCCCAATTGTTTACGTGTATTGAGCACAAAAGGAAAACTGCAGATCTCGGCAGGAGGCAAGTGATCCTCAGCTGTTCTTGTTGATAGTTCTGTGGTGACACACGCAGCAGGACTTTGTCCTTCCCTCTCCTCCTTACCCACTGTGAGAAAGCAACAGGAAGCACAGAACTTCCGGAGCAGTTGCTCGGTGCCACAGGTGTATCTTGAAAAGCTGGTAATGGTGCTGGCAGTGTGTGTGCACACAGATGGGTTCCCTCCTGCCTTAGCAGGGCAATGCATAGTGGGGCACAGCATGTCCCTGGTGCAGTGATCTCCAGGGCACTGGAGCAGTGTAGAACAGCGCTTTAAAACTTTTAGTTGCTCAATCACACGTCACAAACAATGCCACTTTTGCTGTGTTGCCCCCATCAGCAGCTGCCTGCTGTGGCCGTGGGGCTGAGTGTGCGCTCAAGGCACAGCGTGTTTGCTGCCTGAGGTCCTGGTGTGCCAGCAGTACCTGCGGCACCTCCTGTGCCAGCACGGCCCTGGGCAGCTCTGCAGAGGCCTCCTGCACGGATCAGGTCAGTTGTCCCTGGGACCTTTGATGAAGAGCTGGAAGATCACGTCTGGCCCTCCTGGAAAGGGTGAGCTCACTTGCTGCTATCCGCTCCTTTGCAAGGGAAGGGAGCGGGAGGTGGTGTGGGGGGAGCTGGTGTCTTGGTTGGCCTCCCTCCTGTTCCAGCAGAAAAGCTCATAGGTGGTGCAGGACCAGGCCGTAACTGTGGCTGCCCCATGGGACCTCAGCTGTTTCCTGTGTTGAGTGCTTGGTGAAAGCGAAGGCTTTGAGTTTGCATGGAGCAGGGCTGGAGACAGAACTGTCCAAAGACTCCTCTGTTCTTGGGACACTTTGCACACTTCACTGGTTTTCCCATTGGCAGTTCTCCAGCCCTGAGCACAGTGCACATGGGAATGCATGGCTCAGGCAGGAGTTCAGCTCTTCCCTCGCTCTGGTTCTGATCCCTCCCATGCCTCTTTCTTGCTGTTTCTTTTTTGACATGGTGCCTTAGGAAGGGTATGTGTGGGAAGTAGCTCCCATTCAGCTTGCAATTCCACAAGCACTTCCCTTACATGGTAAGGGGGTAGATAATAGCACAACACTTACAGGATCGTTTGCAGCAGCTGCAGGTAATGTCTCATGCTTAAATCCAGCTATTTGTGGGAGCACAGGGTGGCCAACAACCTCTTAAGAACTAGCCTGGTATTTGGAAAGCGTTTCTTTTGTTGCTCCCTTATGTTTGTCCTCATTCTTGTGCATCTGATTTGCTACTTAACATCCTCTGTAGAGTTTCTGGCTTTGGTTATTTGCATTCTAGAGAACAGATTTCTGATAATCCTAAATACATTTGTTCAGTTCCAGTCCATCCTCCATGTTGTGTGCCACTGCTTGGAGAGCCTTGAGAAGTACATGGCTTCAGTCAGGCATGCCCCTGCTGTTGCGTAGTTTGCGTCCAGTAGTGCTTTCTGCCAGGGAGGTCTCTAGGCTGAGGTGCAGCGCAGCTGAGGTGGGATTCAACACTGTGTTGGGCTTGTGAAACCTGGGGCAGCAGCAGCCAGCTTCCTTGCAGCCCCATGCAGAGGGAAAAGGGCTGGCTCAGTCGCTGGCCTGCAGCAGTGTGGCATCGAGGGCCCGTTAGCCGGTGTGTTTTGGAAACCTGGCAGGATATGAGGAATTGCAGGTGCCTGGAATTGCCGAGTGGGCACTAGAAAACAGAAATGGAGGAGCTGATCTGAAAGCTGAGCTTGTGTAGCCTGGGAAGTGGTGCTGTGGGTTTTCAAGGAAAACATGAGCGATCAGTGTTTGAGGTCTCATGTACCAGCCTGAGTGCAGCCACTAAACTGCTGTGAACATTAATTCTGCTGCTGCTGTCTTTCCTATTACACTTTTCCCAGGAAGGCTGAAATTGGAATTTAAATGCATTGGGTTGAGGGTTGGAAAAGTTTAAAGGCCTCTTGGTGTGAAGCAGCAAATGGGCCTGGCGCAGTGACTGAGCAGGATGCACCGGCTGGGCAGGGAGGCAGAGCTGGAGCTAGGCAGCTCCTCCTGATTTATTTGTATGATTATTCAGAAGCCTTTGTAATAAATCAGTGACTTGCAAATTCCTAAGCCACTTAGCAAAGGGCTGATGTGTAAGTTTAATCCCTTCTAGTCTTGGGCTGCTCTTTCATCTTGGCTGCAGCTGGGCAGACACAGGGCTGACCCCACAACCATCACTGCAGGAGTAGGAAAGTGCCCCCCCCACCCACGGGGGAGCCCCAGGTACAGAGCAGCTGTGGGGAGTGTTATGTTGGGACTGCTCGGAGATGAGGCTGGGGCTTAGAGAACAGCACAGAAAGAACAGAACAGCACAGAAAGAACAGTGACAAAGAGTGATGGAATGATGCATTGGAAATGATGGTTATCTGAGTGGGGTTTGTTTATCTTCAAGCTGTTTGGTCCCTCTGTAGGGCTGGGGAGTAGGCTGGGTTCCTCTAAGCTACATCCATGCTGGGAGCAGTCTGCTGGAGAGAAAGTGATTTTATTTAGTTATAACAGTGGGGAATGTTGTTTAGTTTGGAATGAGTAATCTGATTTTTGTTGTTGTTACTAGATTGAGAAAGGGGAGAGGACAAGGACTGTGTGTTAGAAGCAGCTGTTCCAGGAACAAGGTGGGCGAGTGAGAATGAACAGATAGCACTGAAATCAAATCCTTCCTCCCAGTGTAGCACTCACCTTTCCTGGTAAAGCTAAATCACTAAATTAAAAACTAAATCCAGGTCCTTGCCAACGCTGAGATGAGGGGGTGTCTTTGAGTATCAGCTTTCCAGCTCTAAGCTCTGTAGAGCAGGAGAACTGCAGGTGACCCAGCCAGCCTTCAACAGTTAATCTGCAGCTGGAGTGGGTGGTGGCTGTAGAATCCCAGACTGGTTTGGGCTGGAAAAGACGCTCAGCTCATCCAGTTCCAACCCCCTGCCATGTTCAGGGACACCTCCCACTAGACCAGGTTGCTCTAAGCCCTGACCAGCCTGACCTTGAACACTGCCGGGGTGGTTGTAGCCCCCTTTGTAACTGAGCTATTCTGTGCCAAGTTTTTAAATAATATTATGAAACTACTGCAAACTTTTGGGGGTTTGGTATGTTTCTCCTTTGGAGCACCTCTGTGGCAGGAGCTCTCAGCATTTGTTTAAAGCACAAGTACAGGCTGTACCTCTGTTAGGGATTACAGCTGCGGGTGACTGCACTTTGGGTTCAGAAAGAAACAACAGCAGCTGCTGGAAGAGTGCCAGGGCCACCAAGGCAGGAACTCAGGCACGTGCTCGGCTGTAGGAATACAGCACCCGGCTGCCAGGGGCTGAACCAGTTCTTAGCACCTTGATTAAGAATTCTTGGAACTTTCCCCGAGTTAGCTCAAATGTGAGCAGAGAGGAGCCAGTGTGCAAAGGGGTCTGTCGGCACTGGATTACAGAACAAGACCACCAGAGCAGGGGTAGTCCAGGACCTGCCCATCCCTTGGCACTCAGTTCCAGCTCAGCAATGGGAGGAAGCATGTTCAGAAAAAACAGAATGACTGAAAGGGGGCAGAGAGAATCCCCTGCTGTGGGACTGAAGTGTATTTTATTAATTTTTTTTTTTTAGGGTGATCTTTTTTAAATTGTGATTATTTCAGTTTAGTTTAGTTTTAACCTATCATCGGTTGCAGTGTTTGACTGGAGTTCTTGCAAGCTCCAATGCATCAAGTGACTTAGGGAGCCCAGCTACAGGGCTGTCTTGGTATTTAGGTTTTGCACTAACTGGTGCTTGAGGGCCACAGCCTGTTTCTAGCTGTGCATGCACTGCTTTTTCACACAAGAACATAGAATTGGGAGCTTATAAATTCTTTATTGAAAAATAACTTGCAATATTTTCATACAAAGTAATGTAACTGATACCAAGAATTGTCTGACAAGTTCATAAATATTTTTTACAGAAACATCTACACGATTTCTTAGCTTCAGCCTTTTTGTTATGCAGGCAAGAACAAAAGATGCTTTTATTTTACTTTAACTGAATTTACAGTGGAATTAAGTCTTAATTTTCTCATTATTCAGAGGAGTAGGAATGACTTGTAACTCAGAGCTTTTAATTTCTGCTTTCTTACAAAACCTGCTAGAATCTGGGTGGGCTGCATGGTGCACTAAAAGCACCCCTGTGCCTTGTACACCAATGTTAAGGAGTCAGTGGGTGAATGGTGCTGGTTGCTGGTGTGTTTAATACATCTTGGAACTATTTTAAATGAAACTGACAGGAAGTCCAGTGGATGCACCGCTTCCTTACCCTGCTGGAGTAAGCCTGATTTACTTCATTTAAAAACCCAACCCCACCCCCTGAGCCCTGCCATTTACAAACAAGCAAACAGCCCAGTGGAGTTTTCCAGAGCTGGACACCACCATCCTCCTGCCGTGCAAGCCAGGGGGCAGCTCCCAACTTCCTGGGAACAACCCGGAGGCACATTACAAACATACAAAATTCCTTGACAAAAGCCAGCAGGCTGAGTGTGCTGCAGTGATTTTCAGTGCCCTTCTTTGCCACAGGGAGCTGCGGGCTGCCCATTGGAAAGTAAATACAAGTGAGCTTGCTTCACTGCAGCGAGCGCTGCAGTCAGCCTCAGAACAGCTATTCACAGGGCAGAGAAAGCACCATTGCCAACGTACAGCTCAAGAGTTCTGCCTCACAGGCAGCACTAATGCTCGTAGCCTGGCCCCAAGTACTGTCTGCTGCTCACAGCTCAGTCCAGAGCATCACCTGGCTCAGCCAGTGCCTGACACAGCAACAGCGGGGGTGGCTTTCAGAGGCACAAAGAACATCCTGACTATGGAAACAATCCACTTGGAGCTTCCTCTGGAGCTCCAAAAGGCTATTCCCCATCTTCCCCCTCCAAGCTGAACTGGACTTTCTTATGGATATCACTTTTAAGTCATTGGTTTTGTGGGGGTCTTTATTTAAAAACAAATGCACAGCGTCGTGGGAGGGCTGCACCCAGATCTGACACATGGTAACTTCCCAGTCCAAAGGTGAAGCACTGGTAAAAGCAGCATGAGGGGACAGGTCAGAGCAAATGTAGGTAAATACCTGCCCCAAGGTAAAGAGTGGAATTAAGGGTGTGTTCTCCAAGCAAGATAAAGCTCTTCACTGCTCTGTAGCCAAGGCCTAGTGCTGGGCTGCTTGCCTTGGGATCGGCTTGGCCACAGTGCAGAGGTGAGCATGGCTGAGGACATGTGCCATGGCCTGGTCACCCCATGCACTGGGTGACACAGCCTGGCTGGTGAAGCTGCAGGGAGGGACGGAAACAAGGAAGGAATACCTGTGCTGGAACACTGGGCTCAGTGAGAGCCTCGGTCATTTGCTACGTCTTGTAGCCGCCTTAGCAGAGCAGTGTGATTCTCCTGGCAGATGCGCTTGGCTGGTGCTTCAGTTCCATCTTCCAAGAGAATGCCTCTCTTCTTTGTTGGAGTTTCTCCAGTTCTAACCATGCTGTTAATTTCCTTTAGCCTCTGGAGGGAGAAGGGGGGGAAAAAGTAGAATTAATCTCTCATTATTGTGACTACCTGAATATAAGGTGAACTTGTTTTAATTGCATTACAGTGGGGTCACATATGCTTCATTTCTGGAGATCTACACTGCAAAACGTGCTTCCTTTGACAGACCAACCTTCTTAATCACTGTCCTGTTCTCTCCATTACCAGAGTATGCTCCTGTCTTACTCAAGGAAGTTTGTTGTTCCAACACATAGAATCATAGAATAGTTAGGGTTGGAAAGGACTTTAGGATCATCTAGTTCCAACCCTCCTGCCATGGGCGCAGGGATGCGTCACTCTAGACCATGTTATCCAAGCCTCTGTCCAGCCTGGCCTTGAACAGTGACAGGGATGGAGTGCTGACAGGCCTTCCACCCATAGTTATGTTATCTTATATCATAGGTACATGATCTCTATGAAGACTGAAGATGCTTCCCAGGGAAGATTTCTGCTTCGTTTGTGGTACCCAGGGATGATAGGACTCAGCCTATTACACATTCCCTTGGTAAATCCTCTCGTGGTAAGAGCTGGGGGACTTTTTCCCCACTAGGCAGGCAAGAGGATAGGACTGTACTTGGTGTTCTCTTTGGACAGTCTCCACACCAAGGAACCCATCTGAAAGCAAAGGCTACCGTCACTGGCCTCCTGAGTCTTTCTTGTGTTGCAGTACAAAGAGTAACTTTAAAAAAATACACGGTACTCACGGGCACCTGATTGCTTTACAACTTCTTAGATGCCTGAATGGGCAGTCAGAAGAGGGTCAGATGAGAAAGCATGTGTTACACCATGTAAACAGAAGGGTGCACGGCACAACCTTCTCCAGTTTCACTACCACAAAGAAAAGGTAGAATTAAGGATTTACAGAAGCAAATGAAGACCCTTTGGCCTCACCTTCGATGGGCTGCTGCTGAAGTAGTAGAAGATTTTCTCTTGAGGAGAGAGCGCGGACTCATTTTTGTGCGGTGAGATGTACACGGGATATTTCTGGGACAGCTGCACACGGCGAGGGGAGCCCAACCGCACAAACGGGTAGGGCGAGAGCGGAGGGGAGTCGGTCTGCAGAGAGAGGGAAAAGGACACTGCAAAGCACAGCTTCTGTGAGGTGGTCACTTTCAGCGCTGTTCAGTTTTTCCCACTGCTGTCACACTGTACATATTTAGAACAGACCTAAGCTGTGCCAAGTGATTTGGCCAGATTGGTGGCTTTGGGGGTTTTGATTTACTTTTCTAATGCTGTCTGAGGCTGGCAGCTGACACTGTTCAGTGCTGTCTACTGCATACAGGAGGAAACAGCCAACAGGGGCTGACAGTCCTTGGTGTGTTAGCAGCAGAGTGTGTCCTTCAGGTGAACTGATGTCATAAAAATACAATCCCTGGAGTTTGCTTGCAGTGGAGTTAACTAAGAGCACTTCACTGCAGGTACAGTAAAAAAAAATCTCGTAACAGCTGAAAAGCACAGAATTTACTTACTGCATTTGAGGTGTACTTCAGGGCAAATTCTTTGATCTGCTCGATATAGATGTTGTTATAGAACTGTATGAGGTCCCCTCGCTCCTCCTCCTCAGTGTCGCTGTTGGCCCCAGTCAGCCGGGTTGGGGTTGGGGGGGCACTGCTGGGGTGTGGGACAGGCAGGGTGCTGCTGGATCGCATCACGGGGCTGGAGTCTCTGCTGCCTGCAATGAGGAGCAGCTCTTGAGCTCAGCCACATCCCCTTCACCCACTCCAGTCACCTTCACCCTGGTGTTCAGCCCTGTACAGCCACTGCCTTCCCCACCCCTAAATCACAGCATAGCGGCCCTGAATCCAGTCTTGTCAGCATCAGCAATGCTGATGTGATTCCCTTAGCAGCTTCCCTTAAAGAGAAGCAGTATCAGCCCCGTAAGAGAGCAGTGTGGTGCTGAGGACATGTACACAAACACATTTGATTTCTAACTTCTTACTGGATAAACAAGTGGCTCTTCTGTATAAGCTCAGTCCCATTACAATACTAGCAGAGCTACAACTCCACATTTGTGCTGCACTTTTAACAGTAGTTCTTTCTTGTTGAAAACTGGCACCATTTCAAGTTGGGAACAGTATGCTTTTTTTTAGCTCATAGTACCTTGAAAACTGGTGGTAGGAATATACAGTATTACTTCATTAGCTTTTCTTTATAAAGTTTAACTCAAGGAAAATACGTGGGTTTGAATGTCAAGGAAAAGCCTCTGCAGAGCTATGAGATGTGCTGTGGGTGCCTGGTTTGTCCTTGTCTCTGGAGACAGCCAGCTGCTACAAAAGAAACTACTGCAGCTCCATGACTGTGGTAAGTAAAAGAGTACCTGTGAGTACACGCTAGCACGGATTTTCTTCCTTTCTTCAAAGGGGTGTTCTCTGTACAGACTGAGCTCAAAGAGCTCAGGCCAGCCACTGTGGTAAACTCTACAGGGAAGCGTGTGTGGTGATGGATTCCAAACTGTCAAAGTGATGTAACACTAACCCTGAGTTACAGCAACTCGTACACGGTATCAATATATTCCTCAATTGTGTCCAAATTTAGCAAAGAAGAACTGTCTGGGATTGAGTGACATAAAATCCAACTCTTACTTTATACACACAGTTTTGGAAATGGAATTAAACCTAAACTTCTAGACTTCGGAATCACTCACTTCTTTCCTTATTCCTCTCTTTACTTCTGTCTGTAGGTGAGTTCTGCTGGCTGCTGCTGTCGCTGCTCCCAGAGCGGTGTCGACATCTCCTGCCCTTTATCAGTACACTCCGATATACCTGTAGGGAGAAGGAGGAGCACAGCAAAGGCAGGATGGTCAAGTAGGAAGCTAGTTCTCAGGAAACAACTGCCTGCATGATACATGGGCTTTTTAGAAACTCATTATGGTATTGCATTGGTGCTTACGGGGGAAAAGACAACCTCCTGAGAGGAGTGTATCCAAAAGGCACTGCCCTCTGCAATTTTAAGTGAAGCTATTTTCTATTTTAGGTTTAGTCTAGCATGAAAAGCTTTCAGTAGTGCAGGATTTTGGATCAACTGCTGTCTGGTAGGAATGGCTCACAGTCTGCATTCATTGAATGCTCTTCCTTCAGAAAGAGATCCATTCCTAAAATAGACCCAAGGCATTTAATAAACCATGCTGTTTAATATGAACTGTACTTACATGACTCTTGGCTTGTGGTTGTGTCCGATAGCAGCGCATAATATTCTGAAAGGATCTGTCCTCCTTGGTCACCTATAAGAAGGACAGAAAAGGTTAATGGTTTTTCTGTGGGTGTTTTTAGTAGTTTGGGGGTTGTTCTCTGTGATGTTTGGTTGGTTTGGGGTTTTTCGGTTTTTGTTTTGGTTAGTTTGGTGGTTTGGGTATTTTTTAGGAATTGTAATGTTTGGAACATTAAGTCCTAGGAAAGTATTTTGTTTGTTTGGATTTTTTATTCACACCTTACCTTAGCCATTATGTAGATGGCACACATCAACAGCTGATCCAGGTGTCTGTCCATCATGATTTCAGGGGAGTGTACCAAGGAATACTCAAAACAGGTCCAGATCTTTTTCCTCAGCTCATCGGTTACATCGAGCTTGACACAAAGATCTCTCAGGCGAACGCTAGCTAAATGGTACACCTGTGGAAAGGGAGACAAAAACAGTAAATCTTTTTTCTTTTTTTTTGCTTAAAAGAAACAGATGTTCTCAGTTCTGGAATTGAATCTAAGAAAACATTTGTTTTAAGCTTAAAATCTGAGTTGTCCCAAGCACAGGAGGGGCAGTGTACAGCCTACATCAACTGCTGTGTATTTGATAAAACATAGTGTCTAAAAGGTCAATTTCTTTCTTTTCCAGAGCCTTAAAGAAAAAGGACACCTTCAAGTACCTCCTGGATGAGTACGGAATCTACCTCACAACTGTGGTCTGAGAATCCACTCCTTTGCTAGTGAGAAGTTGCCTGCATAAGAAAACTACTCTCCAGCTATGTGTATGGATAGAAAAAAAGTACAGATTAACATTGAAATGGAATATTCCCTTAGTAGTAGTAGTAGTAATTACATATTTTAAAAATCACTGAAGACTTGACAAAATACTAACTAAGCAAAGCATGAAGTGGACAGAAAATTACCTTTCTAAAGAAGAGTGAAAGCGAGCTCATCTTCCGTGGTCTGATGGACGTGGCAGTGGCAAAGGGCTGGGTTTGTCTTTGCTCTCCAGGAGAGATCTGCTGCACAGTGACCTGGCTGGGCAACTGCAGCGTAGCCCCTGTCACCTGGGTGTTCAAGGTACCTGTAAGCGCCTGGGCACTGAGGGGCTGAATGGAGCCAGGAACAGCCTGAGCCTGGGTACCCACATTTACCTGGACTGGGAAGAAAGTTATTCCTCCGCTTTCATTGGCGATACCTATAATTTAAGGAAAAGAGTCTGAAGTAACAGGAAGTTCTGGGTGTGTAGGTGTTTCTGGATGGTTATGGATTTGTTGTGGGGTGTTTGGTTTTTTTGGGGTTGTTTTATTTAAATTTTATTTTTAAATTCAATATTTTATAAGCAACTAATTTTATTAGTTGCTTATAGAATAATTGTTATATATATATTGTTAATAATAATAATTGTTATAAATAAAGTTGCTTTATAATAATAAGCAACTAATTTTATTAGTTGCTTATAACTATATATTTAGTACATTATATATGAAATTGTTTCATCAAAATACTTTTGACATTTCGTCATAAGAAGACTAGAAGATAATGAAATTGAACCAAGTTTTTTTATACTAATTCAACCTCCATCCCTTGCCAGTTCAGGAAGGCAGGCTGGCTGAAATAACTCAGTTCTAGAAGGAATGCTAGCAGTGAGAACATCCTTGTATACATGTTCTGTCTCTAACTTCTGCTCATCTATTCAAACAATTTTTCTGCAATTAGGAATCCTTTTTCTCCACCGGTGTACTATTCCCCCCTTCTCCTTACTGTGTACTAATACTCTGATGGGAGCAAGTCCAAGTAATGCTATGGTAGCTTTTCTCTCACCTTGTACTGGTATTGTCACTGTTTGCCCATTGTTGGCGGTTACAGTAGCAGTTGCCACTGTAACCAGTGTCTGGCCAGGCACTGGGGTTACTGACATCGCTTCAGGATTCATGTTCTGCACAGGCACCGTATTCACCACAGGCTGTTGGGAAACTCTCACTGGAGTGCTGCTCTCAGAGGTATTATCGTTATCAGCAAACAGCCTTCTCCTTGTAGGATTGGCTGTAGGAGAGCTGTATCTGTCATACAGGGTGGTCGAAGGGGATGAAACGCCTGTGCGTTAAGAAACAACAAACACACACACACACACACACATATATTTAACTCCTGTTGTATAATCCCATATTATACAAATACATGACAGAAATCTAAGGAGTACCAAAACATGTCATGCCCAGCAATTCATGTCTTTGTTTGTGCCCTACAGATTGCTTTTAGAGATGACTTCATCTCAAATAATACTGTTTCATATTTTTCTAAGCTCATGCGTTATGTTTTATTTTTCAGAGACAAGTTTGAGACTTCACATAACTAAATATGTAAGTGGAGCTTTGATTGTGGTGTAACAGTAAAGCAAAACTGTTCAAGTGCTAGCAATAAGGATGTAAGCATATATACTTTGAGACCGCATCTGGAGTATTGTGTCCAGTTCTGGGCCCCTCAGTTCAAGAAGGACAGGGAGCTGCTGGAGAGAGTCCAGCACAGGGCAACGAAGATGATTAAGGGAGTGGAGCATCTCCCTTATGAGGAAAGACTGAGGGAGCTGGGTCTCTATAGTTTGGAGAAGAGGAGACTGAGGGGTGACCTTATCAGTGTCTATAAATATATAAAGGGGGAGTGTCACGAGGACGGAGCCAGGCTCTACTCAGTGGCAAACAATGATAGGACAAGGGGTAATGGGTACAAACTGGAACACAAGAGGTTCCACTTAAACTTGAGAAGAAACTTCTTCTCAGTGAGGGTGACGGAACACTGGAACAGGCTGCCCAGGGAGGTTGTGGAGTCTCCTTCCCTGGAGACATTCAAAACCCGCCTGGACGCATTCCTGTGTAACATTATCTAGGTGTTCCTGCTCCGGCAGGGGGATTGGACTAGATGATCTTTCGAGGTCCCTTCCAATCTCTAACATACTGTGATACTGTGATACTGTGATACTTAAGTATTACTTAACACATACGTATGTATGCAGATATACATGCTGTTCATATACATAGCTTTCTGAAAACAGCATTTTGTTCATGCTGAACTTAATGAATGCATCACATATCTATATGAGCTGAATTAGAAATGCCATGTATAATGTATTTGTAATTAACTATACCTTGACATTAAAGCAGATTCCTTGCTGTACACTACTTACTTAGATGAAAAATTAAAGCCATGGTTTAAGAAGTGCAAGTATACTATACTTTCAAAAGCCTTACCTTTCCCTAGTCCTCCAGTTTCAGCACGGACCTCATTTATTCGTCTGGGTGTCAACGGAGAACCCACAACACTGTTCCCAGCAGATCTCTCAAAATAGTGAGGTGGCATTACCTACAATATTCATACTGTTAGTAGAGTGTCTCTACCACACAGTGACTACGTAACACATTTTTAAAAGCTTCTATACTACAGATTCTGAAAAGCAAAACTGCATGGAAAAAAAAAAAAATGCTGGAGAACTTACCCTCAGCCTAACTAAAACTTTGTAGCCATTGTCCTACTTGGGAAGATACAGTACTGAAACAATCTTTCTGTGACTAGGCTTAAAACTCTACTTTTTACCATGCTTCCTCTTGTTTAGTAACCTCTTCAAGCACAAGTGACTGGTCCAGACCTTGCCTCCTTGGCCATTTTGTTCCCTGTTCCTGCTACACTGTGCGAATACTGGGTGATAATAACCTTGGCTGCATTTCTCCGTTTTGGCCATCTCTGTAGTGCTGTACATGAACAAACCAGAGCACACTACAGTTCTGTGTCCTCAGCACTGAGCACCTCATAGTTTGAAACTAAGATTTGGACATGTAGAGCCTCTTCTTCAGGGTATAACATTCCCTCTCTACTATCCTGTCTGAGTGGGAAAACTACGTAACACATGGAAAGAAGCATTTACCTCTTCACAAGTAGGAACCCTGTTTTCATTATCTCTGATTCTGTCCCACACTATGGATTCTTGTTTCCAGGCCATGCTTTCCAAGATCTGCTCCTCAATATGATTGAGGTGTTTTACTACTTCCCGACAAAGGCCATCCTCTGCTCTGATGAAAACCTCAATTACCTGCAAGGTGGATAATTATGATCAATGTAATATATACGTTTTATGCATTTTTTCTTGCAGAAAGATAGAACTCCTGATTTTCAAGGAAGAGGAGACTCTTAGAAACATTAACACTGCATCACTATGACTCAAGGAGATGCTAGCTTACACTTTTATCAGAAGACAGTTGTATCTTTCTAAACAAACACTTCAAGCACTATTGCAGAATCATTGCAACAGTAGCTTATGATACAAGGACAATCCAGCAATTACTATACGGATACATGGATATTGCTGCTGTGTTAAACTGCTAACACTGTGTTAACTGTTAAATGTACAAAACTCCAGACTACCTGCAGAGTGTCAGACACTTGTGTAATATTTTTTCATTATGGGACAAGGCAAAGCTGAGCATGAGGAGTTAGTGTGTACATTAACATGACTTACTCATGACTGGATAAGCGTTTCTAGCTATCAAACACTTTACCTTGTAAAAATGATACACTGGAATGTCAAATATTTCAGGGATGAATGGGAAGTTTCCAGGTGGCTTGTATGTGAAGGTAATGATCTCAAGGCAACATGCCAGCAGCGATCTATGAAACACATCCTGCTCCAGTATTGCCTGCAAGAGGATTGCAAATTTTAATGCTTAATTTACAGTGTAACTATAAAATACAAAAATACTTTCTATTCTTCTTCAGCAGTGAGATTATCAAGCTTACTGAAAGAGATCGTATTTGATAAGAGACAGAACAGACTCCAAAATGAGGCATCTTCAGTCATTAAAAATACCATGTATCTTTGTGTTTACACACACAAATGATTGTGCAGTTTTCTCCCATTACTTCAGAGATTTACGCTCATTCAGCATTTCAGATATTTAACCTCATTTTACAGAGCTGTATACTGTGCTCTACACTTGGTTTTCTCTTCTGTAGGTCCAACTTTAGAAATGAGGTACCATTTCTTTAGTTTGCCTTACAGATAAGTCAGTGTCTCCCAGTCTCTTCCTCTCTTGCTCAATGATAGACTCCAAGACCTTGTAGTATAGCACCTCAGCACGACGAAAATGCTTACTGGCAACATCTGCAGGAATTTTAAGTAGAAACAGTACTGAGAAATGCAATAAAAGAATTACATTCTATATCTTAAGCTACAGAGATACAACTATTTAGTAGTCTGAGTTGATTTCTGTGCTGCTGTGGCTACACTACTTTCAGGACTAAACCAGTTAATTTAAAGATAACTTAGGAATCCCTCTCCTGTGCTGGCACTGACTCCTGAATGCAGAATAACTTTTTACTGAACTCAGATTTTGATGATGACACCATCTATAAGAACAATCCCTAACATTGCTCTAATCTACATATTTCAAGCTAAGAAATATGTTGGAAAGTATATTTAAATGAATCCAACTTGCTGTAGGGTTTGTAAAGACTACAATTAATTACTGTCACAGAAATCCATGCCACCACAATTATCCTTATATTTGATCAAGAAGGTGCTCCCCTTAACAGTGCTTTTCATTTCTTCTGTTGAACTGAAAGTATCATCAAATTCCAGTGATTTAAGCTAATGCTGATGATAAATTTGCATGCAGGGTTGAAATTTGTCAAGTCTCAATACAGGAAAAGACAAAAATAACAGAGAAGACACTTGTGCTAAAGCATAACCTGTAAGGTAGTTACAAGAGATTAGTGTACTCACTTACAGGCATTTTAATTCTTATCTGTATAAGTAAAATGTTTCCCACCTTTGGAAAAATTACTGAATTCTCCTTCAGCCTGCGTGCTCTGGCAGTATACTTCATGCATTTCTTTTACTCTGTTGGCAATAGATTGAGAAGGATCTCTGGAACATGACCTGAAAATAAAAACAAGGTTAACATACTATTCCTGCTAAGAAAAAAACAACCAATAAACAACAACCAAACAAACCCAAACCTATAATTATTTTTACAATATGATGAAAGTTTGAAACTGTAAATATCTTGCAGAACAATATGAATACACCCATAGGTGCCCTAACTGCATTTGTCCTGTAAAAGGGCCACAGCATATTATTATTATTACTGTATATGCATGCTTTGTTGTAAATATACATATCTTTTGTTGATGCGGGACAAATATTTAAACATTTTCCACATGATATAAAAATTGATTTTTAATATATTGTACCTGAAGCAATAGTTTATCTACATGAAGAATAAATTTTATGTTGCATCTCCTACAGAGGGAAGCCATTTGTTAGGTGGTGAGATTTGCTAAGTAGGAAGAAGAAAAATCTTGACATTTTGTATTAGTAGTTTGTTGTTAGAGACACTCAGAACTGCTGGGTTTTAAACATGGTATGTTTTTACAGCCATCAGTCCCTTAAGGACAAGTGTATCTAAATAAAGAGAACAATGTCCTTGATATTTAAATATCTCTCTAGGTCCTATTTTACTCCGAAACCTTTCAAGACTGACTCACAGTTCAAATCCCACTGTTCAGCATTAACATTTGCTATTAAAACTAAACTTTTTTAAAGAATAGGTTTGTTTGGTAGCTAAACATTAAACTTACCTGAGTATTTGCTCCAGATTTTCACTGGGGGCATTTTTCAGCCCTGCCAGCATTGTGTGAAGGCGGCTTAAGCTGTATGTTGCCATTGAAACAGGTGTCACATATGGGTTGCTCTCTTTAATATATTTGCGGCCAGTTAGCGGAGTTGTAATCCTGAGTGATTTGGACTAAAAAGACAAAAAACTAAGCATATAACTGTGCACTGCCAGAAAACTTAAGACACAGGCCATAACCACAGAAGTGGCAGTCTGCATAATTCTTATCCTGTGTTAGGATATATGCCTGGGAAAAATGGTTGAGTATCAAACAGCCCAAACTAGTGATGTCTCAGAAAAGAGCCCCCAGTGACAGGTGTGTCTGTATCGAGCAGTACTATATAAAGGTGAACAGGGAGGATGTGACTTCACACTGAAATCCAAGTACTGGGTGGGAACTGAAAAAACAAGGCCAATCAAAAAACCCTAAACACCCAGCAGTCCCCTCCTACCCTGAGTAAGGAAGGCAGGTGTAGCTCATAGGTAAAGTGTACTGAGCCAGGGTTTCCTTTCAGCAGGTTTAATGCTTAACATGAACAGTCCTCCCAATTAGCATTTTAATTCATTTGCATCACGTCAAGCCATCACATCAAAACTATTTAACATCAAGGATGTTCCTTCAATGCAAACCCAATGCATCTTCTAATTATCTAACCACACAATCACTTAACCAAGAGATATTTTCCTTTTTTTAATAAATGCATTACATTTTGCCATCTTTTTAGCATGAAGTCTAGCTCCCAATGCTCCTCATGTTTTTCCTCCACATTCGTAAGTGTGGTTTATTTCTGCCTCCACACCCTGTCAGAAACATGGCTCCCCCAGCCCCACCCTGGACACTCAAAGCACGCAACAGCCTAAGCACTGCAGCCGCAAGCTGCTGTGTTGTACAGGCCACCCTGTGTCAGCACTACAGAAACCTACATGAGTCTGGCATGCAGTGCAACTTGGTGGTTGACTTTTTCTTATGATAGATCAGCAGCGAAGAATTAGCTATTTGCATTATTTTTGCCGATATGGTTACTCGGACCTTTTCTCACCAGAATATTGAAAGCCATTAAGTAGCTCTCCCTCTGGAAAAAAGATAACATACCTATTTAGTGACCTAGGCTGTTTCACCCTTTTGCTCTAATTGTGCTAATACAGCTTACATCCTTCTTTATGTGCCTGTCTTGTCTCCTTCCTCCTTTAAGAGAATTTTTCCATCTTTCAAAACATTCTGATATTCTGTTTCCATAGGTATATGTGTCTGCATTCTGCATTCAAAGCCAATGCCTGTTTTTCAGAAGCTGCTCTAGTCACATGGAGGCTCTGGTAATATTATAGGTCTTCTTCACTTTATTGTTCTGAAATACATAGTGTTCTTTATCCTCCCAAAGACCATATTCTGTGCTACTTCATTACTCATATATAAAGACGTATCTGTGTATCACACTTGTAGGCAAGTGAGGTGAAAACCATTCCCTAAGGCTGAGAACGATGTAACAGTTACACCTGAAGGACATTTGTCAAAAGAAAACATCACTTTGCATGTGTTAAGCAACTCCGCATATGAGACAGAGATCTGAAAGAAGGGGAAGCTACACAAACAAGTACAGAGAGCCCCAACAGCTGCAAGACAATTCAGGACTGATGAACACCTGTGGAGAATTGTCCCTCCTATTGTGCTTGAAAATCTTCACCTAAAGGTCTACCTAAACATCCCACTTTAGATAATTACCTAAATATTCTCTATAGTGGATTTTATCAAAGCAAGCCCAAATGCATGGAGAAATCCTGTCCAAACCCCCCCAAAGTAAACACTATTTCTGATCAATTACAAAATCTAACTCATCTTAAACAATAAATACAGTAATTTTTCTAGCTGCTTCTTGTGATGACAGACTAACTCATTTTATTCTCCATATAAAACCAGCAGCACAAACCATGTGATACTCACCCTGTCAAAGTGCTGCTGCAAGTTATGCTTCACTTGTACTCTTTCAGCTGTTTCCGTTCCTGAAGCTGTATTTAAGCACCTTGTGAGAGTTCCAATTTCTTCATCTGCGTCCTCCCCAAGAAATATTCGCTCATCAAGATTTCCTACTGACAGAACATACTCCTCATAGGCCTTGTTGATGGCTTTGCTACAGCAGGAAGGAAAAGACAGATACAAACCCCATTTTATTTAGACAGTATTTGGTCACCTGCTTACTGATCAAACACAGTTCCAGCCTCCTGAAGTCTACTTCAGGACTTCCTTTAACCCTGACTTGAGCATTGTAGCTCTTTTAAAGTCTACAATATCTTCAACATGACAGTGACAAGGACATTATTTTCCCATTAGATCTGATGGCTTTCCAGTCAGTATAGCTCCAGGTGGAACATAATAAAATACTGAGAGCTTATATTTGTCCTGAAACTCCTCAAAACTTACACAGCAGCACAAAATCAAAAACTACGCTTAATATTTTCATACTATTTAAAAGAAAGTAAGTCTTACTCACAGACATCTCTAAGTTTATAAAGAAAAAAATGCCACCAAACCCATTTTTTCCCTCTCACTTGTCACTCAATGTGCTCCCACTGAGTTCTATACAAAAAAAAAAAGTATGGAAACATAGAAAATGAAGAACAAAAGAAGAAATCAAGTAATAGCATCCTGAAGAACCATTCCTCTTTCAAACAGGCCTGTAATGATGCACAAATATTCATTCATATGCAAGTCAACTAGTTGCTACTACTGCTGTTGAGACACAGATCATCCTGCAAATGCAATGTGCTACTGCACAGGGATACTGATGCAAGCCAAACCACAAATCCAATGACTCACAAGCTATCCCCGAAGTTCCCAGGATCAAGAAATCCAGTCAGATTTTCATCTTTTCCTTTCAAAAGCTGTAAGACAATGAAAAAAAGGATGGACGTTTCAGTGCCTAAAAATGTTCTGAATGATCTGAAATTTTTCTACATCACAAATTTACTGGCCAACCTTTTTGTCAAAAAGTTTCCGAATATATGGCTTCCAAAAATGTTCCTTTATGCCTTTTGCTTCTAAAACTAATCCGTAATGTAATGAACACAGTTCTTCAATGATGCAGGGAGGATCAGATGATACCTTATAATCCTTACTGTGAAAGTCTTCAGGTAGACCTACAATTAAGAATACTGTATTATTTAATTCTGCAAATCCATAGCCTGTTTCCTTATTAAATTCTATGCTGTGTAGTCTACACAGTGTGAAATTAAAATAAGCAAATTAATTCCCTTGAAAGGATTATTATTATATAACGCCCACTTAATTTGATATAGTTGTCAAAAATCAATTTTGAGTCATAGATTTAAAAAAATTAGATACTGAGTGATAAAAATTAAATATGTCAGTTCTAATAGCAAGTTAATCAAACACTTGTGAACTGCAATATTTAGTCAAATAAATTTGAGATAATGGTCCCAGTTCACATCCAAACCACTATAAAGCAAATGCAAATACGGTACAGCACTGAAACTGAACTCTAAGTCTGGAAAGAATTACATAAGAAATTCAGTGGGAACTTCTCACCAGTCATCTGCAGTTGCGTTTATCAAATCAACCTACATTTCCATTCTCTTCAGAACAAGAGCAGTAGCAATCCAGAAACGAGAAACACACTGTCACTCTCATTTTTTAGCACTGGGTCTTCCCCAACTGCTGCCTCACAGGAACTCTCCAGTCTGACTGTCCCCAGCAATCCTGTGCCACTACGTGCTCTTTCACTGACACCAAAATGTCATTAACTGGCATTTTTTACTTGGGAACTCCCTTCAATGGTTATTGACATAGTAAACTAAGAACTTACTATATTATTAACAGAATTCAGCAGTCTGTTATGCTACAGGAATAGAAATCTGTATAGCCAGATGCAGAAAATCTTAATTCCCACATATTTCAAATCAATATTGTTAGATTTTCTCTACCACATAGATTCATACTCATCTCAGTAGCCTTAAACGTTGTTGGAGACATTAGATAAAGACAGGTTTTTTTTCAACATACCGTTAAAATTAGGATTCAGAAGTTCTTTACGGTTTGGACACTGGAGAGCATTTCCATACACTAGATCCAATGCACATAACAAGAGATGGTACGAATTGACCAAGTCATCACTGATCATAGGAAAATTACCTTCAATATTAGAAAGACATAAACCATTAATTAAAATTAGCATAGATTTAAAACTTTTTTAACCAAGAAACTGTTGATATTTTTATTATAATCAATAACAAGAGTCTTGGAAACACAGGCTTTGCTGACTGTAAACATCTGGATAGAAATGCACGTAGTAAAGCAGACACAAACTTGATAAAATGCAGCAAAGAGAATAGTGAAACACTTTTGTTTTCAGGAACTGCAGCAATTGTGTAGAAACTCAAATACATAGTTTTGAAAACAAACCTCCCCAGAATATTGATAAATGTGATATTGCAGACTCCTTCGCTCACGGTAATCTGGTAATTAAGTGCATAAATAACTTGAAGCAGCATGAACTGTATCATGCAACTGCCTCAAGGGAGAAAAAATTGTTACCTAAACAAGGCCCAGTCTGGCAGTGCTACGTCCTTCAGCAGATTCTTACTTTATCTGCCTGAAGGAGAATCTTGGTCTAAAAGTGTATGACAGGGAGAAATGTGCTATGACTGAGACTTGCCTTTTCCCCAATTTTGCACTGTGTACAGCGCTGCAAAGAACTTTAACTTTTGTCAGGCTACACCCTCATGTCCAGATATGCTAGAACAAGTGCTGCCCCTCCTTCAATTTCTCCCATTCTCCAGCATGAATCTATATTTCACTCAAAGTCATGAGATTATTTCTCTTTACCAACCTGTTTTCTTTACAAGATTTTGGTGGGGGTATACTCATCATAAACAGTAATAAATTTAACTTAATTTCTCTTGTGCTTTATGAAACAGTTAAAATGTATATCTCTCATCTGGTTTACAATGTAGCTTTGTTTCATATAACTCTAAAGTGTTTTTTATTTATTATTTTCCTGTAGAAAAGAATCCTTGTAACCTCTTCACTGTCTTACCACCTTTCCAAAGGTTATATGCAGATTCATTACTCTCTACCAAACTCATTTAGGTTTATGATATTCCTTTAGAGCAATGGCCACAGCTAAAAACAGGATTAAAACAAACTGTACCATGAATTAATGCCATAAATCACAAACCCATGAATTTATATGTACAGCATGACTTTCTATCACTCTTTCAACACTAATAACTTTTCTACTCTTTCCCCTCACCCCCTAGGTATGATCCAAACCACTTAGTTGAGCCCACTATGAACAGGTTTAAATCCTTGAAGAAATCTATCATATTGTAATAAACTCACTTAGAACACATTAAAATGTATATATGATTAAAGAATTTTTCTAATTTACTGTTACTTTTCAACCAGTAACATAGCAGCTTGTTCGAATTTATATTCAAATTTTCAATTCCATGCTTGTAAAAAAAATAAAAATTAAAAAAAATAATTTCAATGCAGATAATTGGAACTATTTAAAATAATGAAGTCTACATGAAATTTGAATTAAATGTACACATTTTTCAGTTATTTCCAAGTCATGAAAGGTTCAAAACAAAACAATGGAAGTCCTAAATACAATAGCAAAATTTAATCTATAAAAATCTTAAAGTAACTCACATAACACAGGTTCACTTTCATAACCATTAAGTCTAGCATGGCAATCATCACTGTCAGTACAAAATCTAATTTTACAGTACCAGTAGTTTCATAAAAATAATTAGTGACATTTCAAACAGCTTTCTTCCACTCCCCTCCACAACCTAGTGCCAAATAATAAAACAGCTAAAGTACTGCTAACCAAACCTGCTATTTTACTTCGCAGAGTACACCAGACGTACGAATGAGACCTGCACTTTCTGCATCTGAGAAAGTGAGCACAATGATCTTCAGGCTTGCAGCAATATCACAGAGACAAGCCTGAACTTGCCACTGATGTGCGGTTGCCATGATAAGCATTACTGCCAACCACAGCGAACAAACCAGGAATGCTTAATGCCTTAAATGGTTGACATCTGGCTTCCATTTTTGTGCTGCCACATTTTAATAAATTTACCACTAGTCACTTACTAATTTTAAAGTCTGTAATTACTGTAAATTTCCCTTCTTCATGCAAAATTTAATTGGATATGTTATCAAGATGGCATTCTCTACAATGTTAATTTGTATGCCTGAAACTGCTCACTAATTAACATGTAGTTAGTTGGTTATCTTGTTACTCAAACATATCAGCCAATAATTTACCAATAACAAGATGCTTGAAGACCCTTTGCACCTTGTCAACTCTCCAATCAACCCAAAGAAATGGGGATTTTATAGAAGGGAAAAGCAAAATCTGTGAGTTTTCAGACTGACCTACTTATTCTCTCAGCTGCCTAACTGTGCTGAAGAAGTGAAGTCCTGACTGACTGGAAATAGAGTACAGTACTAACTCTCCTCTGGACTCAGTGGATATGAATGGGTATTTCATACTACTGGAGAGAGCTACTCTGGATGAAAAGAAAAAAAAAAAAGGAAAATCATGCTGTATTTCAGGGTTTCAAGCAACACACCTCTTCAGGAAAAATCTCTCTTCCCCAGTAAAACAGAATTTGCAGCCTATTGGAAAAAGGCATCTCCTATGTAAGATAGTGTTCAGTACACTCGTGCAATACCACACGATATCTGTACAAAGATGTGATGTTGGGGTCTGATAGTATTATCAGTAACTTTTCCACAAAGGAGCTGCTAGCACCCTCTGCAATGTGGCACAGTGTAGAAAGAAAGGTTAATCTGTGTTGAACAAATAATATTATTATTTGCAGATAATGCAGTATTATGTCAGCCAGCTCTGTCCTATCCTCAAAATCAGCCAATTACGGAAATCACAGCACACTGCAAGGATATTAGCACCGATTCCCTTTTAAACTGGAAAAAAGCCACCCTACCACATACCTCAAACCCAAACCCAAATTCCTTTTATCCTTTTCTTTGTAGAAATTAAGCTATCAGTTTTCTTCTACTAGAAGTTATCTTATAAAAAATATAAAGTGTCTCTGGAAATTTATCAATGGACGTGAATGTACAAAGACTTTCTTTCATTGAGGAATACAAATCTTGTCTTTATTTCCCTCAAAACACTATCTTACACAGAATTCCCAGTGAACACTCATCCATGCAGTATGTGAATAAAGCTCCAGGTATGCAGAAGCTCTTTTTAAGATGCACATTCTATGAGGAAAGACTTCATACTATATGTGATATGACTAAACAACTTAAGCCTAAAATAGGACTTAATCCTGTTTCTTCCTGAGGCTTTTTCTCCCACCAGTCATTACCGAGGAAAAACTGGTGAAATCTGCTGCTATTCTTATTAGCTTTAAAACTGTTTTTACAATAAAGGTTATATATATATTACAATGTATTGTTTGTTCATCACATTATTTCTACATAGTATCTAGAAGCATATTAACAGAGGATCCCCTTAAGTGTTCCAAAGGATTCTGAGTCCCCAAGACAGTTGTTTATATATATACTGCTATGTCTAAATGCAAGGGAAAATCACCCTTGCCAGACAGGCATATGCAGACGTATTTAGTAATGCATATGTTTATTTGATACAGTTGCCACATGCTCATTTTTTAAAAAAGGCAGGGAGACAAAAAAGCTATTAAAAGAGTAAGAATGCTCTCTGTGATACTAGCATGAAGTATTCACACCCAGAATTGTATGATGAATTTATAGTAAGTTATAGGAAAAAAAAAATCCAGTATGTGCAGCATCCCAGCAAACATAAATACACACCTTATGCTAATTACAACACCACCTAAATATGAATTAACTAAAATTCTAAGCTATCTTTTTCCCTTGGAATTACAGCATAGATCTCCACAACACTGGAAACTTTGTAAAATACTCCACATAAAAGCTACTAAACTATTTGGATGTATAACTCACTTGTAGTGTGGTAAAATATACAGCTGGGGAAATTAAGACAGAATACATTCTGTCTTCAGGCTGTTCTATGAAGGCCCTTTCTCCATTTCTGAATTCAGAAATGCCTGCACCTAATTCAGCGTTTAAGGACTCATATAAAGCAATAAATAACAAACTAGATTTGTTATATTTAATCCCTTTCAAATCTCTTACCTTTTGCATGAACAAACAGCAACCAACAAAACTGGAAAACTTCTGTCACAGTACATGGTTGTCGTCTTTTGGGGAAAAATACAGCAAGAAGACAGCCAATAAGCTCAACGAATTAAGACAGATAGAACATCATACAACATTCAATCATTCTAAAAGAAAATTAAGCTTCACTGCAGTGCGGCCAAAATCTTACACCCTTCCCACAAAACCTGACTAAAGTTAATAAAGTAAGCTGTGAATAGGTTTAGTACAGACACAAGTGGAACCCCAGTCAGCCTGCATGTAATGACCCAAATGTCACTACGACAGATCAACAGAGCAGATTCCAATAAAACCAGGCCAAGACCTAATCATTGTAAAGAAAATCATTGTAAATTTAATGTTACACATGGCTGGCCTAAATGTTTTAAGGCAAAATTGTGATCTTATTTCCAAAGAACAGATAAATATCCTAATTTAAAAACTACAGAAAACATTTTTTCTGCTTTTTCACACAACAAATGGTACACAGAGTCAACTGAAATATTTTGAGAGCCGGAGCTGAAATTCCTTCTTCAAAAGCATTCTGAACAATATAAGCAGGTATATGTTCTTGGAGGAACACATTACACAGTGTGTTGATGTTAATACACTTGTCACAGGCAAAACTTTCAGAACTATGTGGTCACAAGAATATCATCTCTGTACTAACAAAGCATTTTGTAAAGGGTTTTATACAGTATACAGAGTTTTGAAATACATTAAATGATTATCAGAACCAAGTTCCTCTGCCGGTCTTTGTTTAAGACTCCTTCATAAATGAAATGTTTTGTACCTCTTGAAGATTTGTTATTTCTTAATAATGCCACATACACCATACTAGACTTCCTATTTCACACTTATGGCTAGCAAGTTTGCTTTGTGTTCTTGGTAACATAAAAATCTTGACAAAGTAATCAACTAATCCTAATTTTTTTATTCCACTTCCCCCACCACAACTGGAACCTGTGCTCAAGTATTTACCACATGGATTTAAAAACAAACAAAAACTCCTCCCCTAGCACAAATTTTTATGGCTTCATGGCGTTCCTTGTTTCCATGTAACAGGTTACTGGAATTGCTACTTCATATACTGCAGCTCATCTCCAGAACAGCAAAGCATTAGAGCAGCAAAGGCGGCATTAGAGATATGTTGTGTCTAATATTGTGTTTAATGTTCACTGTGAAATAGGCATGTCAGCCTCAAAACCAAGTAGTCTTTATCACATTTTCTCTGTAAGACTGTATTTAGTATTAAATTCTTTCATTCAGGCAAAATCAATTAATGGTGAGGAGATTCTTTTCAATTTCTCCAGTGTTTTATTCAGCCTTAATCTTTTATTTTTTTTAATTTAGTCACTCCAGCAGGTTTTGTAAAGAATGGTTTAAATGTCAAAATTAACATATGCTTCACCCAAAAATTAGTAAGCAACATCTTCCAGCTTAATCTTCAAGATTACTTCATGACTTACCATCCAAGCTAGCCACTAGAGGGGTTTACTCTTCCAATTATAGAACAGTATAAACTGTATATTTTAATGAAAATGCACTCAAAATACAACCAAAAACCCCAGGCAATTTCATTACATTTTTGCTCTATTCTGCTCTAAAATCAGTCTAGAAATAACAGGAACATACCTCTGTTTTCTCCCTCTCTGTTGACGAGGTTGATCTTCTTGAGGATATCTGAAAATGTCCTGAAAAATGGGCTCATATTTCTTAAAAATGACAGCAGAAACAGTGAAGTTTCTCTCTAATCTCTCAGTTCGTTCTCTGAATTGGGCAGGGAGATTTGCCATGTCTTCCCATTTTTTCATCTTGTTAAAAAACTCGATTAAGCTGAAAACACCAAACAGATTAAATCTGAAAGTTCTGGGCTATTTTTGCAGAAATATACTGTTCGCTTTCTAACAAAATTGCAATTTCTACTTCCTAAAGTACCTGCAATCATGATAACGTACTCAGAGCCCGTCCTTCACCCATAAACATGACAGCTCACAAAATATTTTTAGATCTTCACTTGATTACTATGTTAAATATGTTTCACAGTTCTGTTTTTTCCTCACAAAGACACAATCAGCTACAACAGTCACATTACTCTAAAAGCAGATTTCTTTCATTTTTCTGAAAATTTATTAACTTGAATAGAACAAACTCTTAGTTCTACAATGCTGAGAAGATTCTACAAAGTATGAAAACCCCTTGAGTTTCAGCACATTTCACTTCATAAATTTGGCTTTTATTTATTTTTCAGTCCTTTATCTATCCCCACTTATTTCGGAGTTACTAATCTTTGACAGCCCATGTCACAGAAATAATTTATCCACATTAAATTCCTGAATTTCTAATTTTTTATGAAAAAGAAACATTTCTGTATTATGTAAATCAACAGCAAAGCTCCAACAGTAAAGGAGATGGGGAGCAAGACTGCATAAGAAGATTCTTTTTTAGTTTTTATCCAATCTGCTAAATTGTTACAATACACTCAGACTGCTAATAAATACAGCAAATAGTTTCAGGAACATTTTACTCAGTGCTTTATGGACATAAACATTTGATGGCAATTTTAGCAGATTCTGACATCACTTTGGTTTCATAAAGCAAGAACATGTAAAAAGTGAAGTCTTCTTCCAAAAAGTATTTTCACAGCCAATTAGAGACGGTTTCTCATGTGAGAAGTTCACACTTTGCACACTCTTCCAAAACAGACTATTTTTCAAAGAAAGGCTTCTTTCACCTTTAAGAAAGAGAAGTAAATCTCTGATTTTGAAACCAGTGTTTTTACAACATAGTAACAACCAAATGGAATTGTTCTACTTCCATGGCAATGATCTGATAACACAAAGACTCCAGCGATACAAATTCTATCTTTAAAAGCAGGAAACAAGACAGATGTTTAGCATTTGTTCTCAATTTCTAGATTTCACAAGCTGATAAGCAGTCTTTGAGATCTTGTACGTGTTTAAAAATGAGAAAAAAGTTACCTTTGTTCTGAACAGCGCAGAATTCTGGTTAAAGATACGTAATTTCCCTCAGCTGTCCCTTTGCTCACTGTGGGAACTGCTTTTCTGCAAGCCACGTACAAGGCACACGCTAGCCAGTGCAGATCATTGCCCTGTGAATTAAACCATCAAGCATTTAAAAGACTTCATTGCAAAGAAAAACATCCTCTTCAGCTATGCACCCAACATAAGGAAAAAGGACAGGACCGTGTCCTACATGAATGAAGTTCAAGCAGTGACAATGTTGAGCTGCTGTTTTAAAGTTGAGCTACTCTGTGATTTTAGCTACAACAAAACTAAACTGATACTTAACACTGAACTATGTCAAACCTAAAACTGCAGTTACTAGTTACCTGTATAAATGTCACTCTTGATCCAAAGTTAACAAAATCCTTTTACTGTGGCTCTTTTCCTGTCATAACATTCTGTACGGCCTTGTGTTAAAAAAAATATACACAACAGCTACAGTTCCTTACAATCAGAACATTCTTCCCTGAACAGACAGTAGGAACAGAAAATCACAGTTTCAATTTATTTTTTTTTCTGTATTGCACAACATAACTGTTACTCGACCTGTACTTCAAGGCAGAAATTAATTCCAGTTAAAACTTTTTAAATCTTATGCTCTCTCTTCGATTAAAACCCAATGTTTTAATTGGAGAAGGCCAGTGAAAAAGAGGGCGTGTGGGCACAGAACACTGAATTCGATGCTGTGGGTTTCTTAAGCCTACATGGTATCCCGGGGCCAGATGACCACACACTTTAGAGACGAACACAAATGCTCCTCCTGAGCTTTCCAGCCCGTTTCCGATGGTTACAGGCAGCGTGTAACAGAGGCGCTTTCAGGCCACAACACTTCATTTCCTTCCTCCACACAGCTACAGGCACTGATGGTTCACCACCCACTCACTCTCCGCCCGTGCGGAGCTTCGTGTAGCTCTGCGTTGAGAGCTGCCGGCTCATGGGATGGGGAACCCTGAAGAATTCCAGATGATTCCAGAATTTAATTGTAACAGCCGCCTTGATTTTGAAAAACCCAGCCGGTAACAAGCATCTCCCGATCGCAGCGGGTGCGCCACTTTGCGTTACCGTTTTAAGGAGCCGGCACGGGGCCGTGTGTCACGTTCACAGAACCAAATCTACTTAACAGCGCTGAAAGCAGCTACGTGGGCAACTGAACAGCTACTGACAAGCGTTCACTGAGACAACTAAAGTGCGCTTGTAAGCGGGCAGCCGCAAGACCCCAGCGATAGGATCGCTTTTAACACCTTTTCACTGCAGTGACTCAGGATCAGTTATTTTCCCACTTGCAGAGCCAGAGACCGCCGCTGTGCGGCTCCACCGCAACTCCTGGCCGCAGCCGCCCCTGCGAGTCACAGCTGGGGCCGGGAGCTGGGCAGCTGCGCTCCCCGGCGGGCGGGCACCGCAATCGCGAGAAGCGGCGTCCCTCAGCGGCGCTTCCCGCCGCTCAGGAGCCACCTCCCTGCCGTCCAGGGGCTCAGGGCCGGGCCGAACCCGCGCTGCGGCACAGGGGGCGGAACGCGCCCGCGCTCGGCTGCGGGGTAACGCCCCGACGGCGCCTCAAAAGGGACAGTGTGAGGGAGAGGCCACCACGCCTCGAGGGCCGTCCCCTTCCCTCCCCCCCACTTAACTCTCTCCCTCCCGCTGGGCTACCCGCCCAGCGCCGGCTGCCTCCGTGCTGCCCCCACGGCCTGGCGCGCCTCACCTCCAGGGTGTAGTTGCGCTTCATGCTCTGGTAGCTGAGCCAGGCCTCGGAGCTGGCGCGCTCGTCCATGTTGAGGCTGCTGCACAGCTCCTCGTAGCGCTGCCGGGTGTCCCCCTCCTCAGCCGGCGGGGAGGGGGCTGCGACCCCCCCGACCCCCTGCTCGCCATCCTCCTCCTCCTCGCCCGGCATGCCGCGCCCCGGCGCTAGGGGGCAGCGCTGCCTCGCCGCACACTGCGCCTGCGCCGCCGCCCCTCAGGGTCGCGACGCGCATTCGAATCCAAACACCCCGGCGCCGGGCCCCGCCCCCACCGTCTAACGCGGCCGCTCATTGGGCGGCGGGAGGACACAGGGCCCGTCACCGCCCTCAGTGTACGCAGGCGTACGGCCACAGCCCCTGGCCCCGCCCCGCCCCGGGCAGCGCTCCCAGCAGGCAGCAGAGGGGAGCATGACGTACCACTGACGTCAGCGCGCACACGTCGCGGAGCGCAGGGTGGCGCGGAGCTCGCAGTGTGGTGGGTGCGGGACACGCCCTGCTCAGTGACCGGGTGTGGGACACGCAGGGGCAGCACACGCATGGTACCGGTTAGCCGCTCATGAAAACCAAGCACAGTGGATGCAAGCTCTGTTAAAGGCTGCTGCGTAGAGCTTTCACACAGCCAAGTGTAAAAAATACAGTGGAAGAGTTGTAGGCTGTTGGGAAAAAAAGCAACTTTAAAACAAGGGCACAAAATATAATAAAGATTGATTTGCAGTATGAATCACTTGTGTCCAAAGCTTTCAAATGGCTGTGCACATAACGAAGACAACTGGGTACGAACGGGTGAACAACACAGGTGGGAGAGCTCCTGAGGCCCTGCATTTAAACAGGTCTCCACAACACCCACCTTAAGGAGAGATGGTTGTAGACCAGTAAAACACTCTCTACTGTTAAAAAGAGATTTACTGGCTGTTTCCTTTTGTTCTACATTTCTAAGCCACCAACCATTAGAGCTTCAGGGGAAAAAAGACACATCTCAAATGCTGGTTTGGCTAACCTGAGCTGTTTCCCAGGTCACCAGCGTGCATGTTTACGCAGCAGGGACAGTACCAGATGGTGCAGAGCCTGCACTGGAAGCTGCCGCCCCTGAGCTGCCAGGACAACCTGGGGGTCTCGCCCATTCCAGCATTAAAAACTGATGGTTAGTTAGGCTGTAGGTAATGTTGATATAAGGAAAGCAAGTGGCTGGAAAACAGAGGGTTAAGATACTTTTAGGTCTAAGACGGAGAACAATGTTTGAGTTGTAAGTCTGTGGCGTGATAACAGAGTTTAGTAGTCTTACTAACGAGAGTGAATTACTTCTTTCCATCCTTCTAATGAGTGAATTATTTCTTAACATCAGTTAGTTTGGAGACAACGACTGCTAAACATTTGCTAGCTTAGGATACTCCTTGTCTGCCCATCCTGTTCTGCTTGCAATAAATTTTGTAGGAAGGTCACACTGTTCTAAATCTTTGCCAGCTATCAGAAACTTACAGATATGGCTGGTTTCAGCTAGTTTTGTGATTACTGGGGCATCCAGCTGTGCCAAAGGTGTGCACCGTAAGGAAGACTGCTTACTTCATCTTGAAGACCCCTGCCCATAACCATCAGAGGGCAGTGTGCAAGCATCAAAAGGGAGGAGACTTATGAAAATGAGTACCTAAACTAATTGTAATATCCCCACCACTCTCTCAGGAACCTAATGAATATGCATGTTTGTGTGCAATAAATATCTGCTTGCTTAACCCCTCAGTGTGCAAGTAATAAACATATCTGCTTTATAACTCTGAGTTGTAGAGTCTGGTTTTGTGCTTCAGTGTCTAAACACCTCTTTTTTTTAACATGGAGGAGCTGTGAACTTTGCAGCGAGGCAGTGCACTGATGGGATGCCCTGTGCCACTCAGAAGTCTGTAATACTGCAGGGCTTTCCTGTAAAGCTGCATTTACAGTACTTGTTAAAGCAATAACTTATTACAGGATTTTACTTAATACTGACAAACATTAATCTACTCTATCAAAATCCTTTGGATTAAAAAAAAAAAAAAAGAAAAATTAACAAACCCTCACAGTACGAGAAACAAAGCCTAGGTTAAAGGTGAAGTTATTATGCTTGATTACGCCCGTATTCATCCCTGTTTATATGCATCCAGACTTTGTAAATAAATGGTTTGACAATTCTAGCATAGAAGACAAACTAAAAAAAGTTGTGTTTAATTTAAAAAATGCTGCTGAAAACTTTCACAAGGAACGTTTTAGAGACATACCCTGAACGCTTTCATCCCTGAGGACTTAACTTTTTCCTCCACTTGATCTCTCCTTTTTTTTTCTTTTTTCCTTACAAAGCTGTTAGGATTTTATTCAAGACCATAGCAATGTTCAACATCAGTACTGAAATAATGAGATATCCTCATCTGGCATGCTGATTGCTTGAATTGTTTCCACTACTGGATTCCGTAATTATACCTGCCAACACTTAACAGCCATTAGCGCTACCACCAGTGTAGAACTCTCAACAAGAATACCACAGACATCCTCAGTCAGGTCCTTGACTGCTGCTAGCCTATGCTGCAATGAAATATATTTTGAACCATTTTGAATTTTCAGAAAATTAGCTTATGAACATGCTATGGACTTTCGTATGAACTGCAGCATCAAAGGGCTTCACGGCTACATATTTGTCTTGTGCTGCCTCCACCCAGGTAATGTCACACTGGGGACAGCAGCCATGGGAAGCTGAGCAATTCAGACAGGCAGCACCTCTGGAGACACAGGTGCTGTTTACAGCTCAGAACAACCAGTGAACCATTTCAAAGTACGGCTGCACAAAAATACGGCAAATGGCTTCAAATTCTACCCTTGTGATTTTGTTAATAAACTGTAGTTTCCTTGCAAAATACGAGAAACAGCAAAACTTGAGGCCAAACGCTGTGCAGTCATAGCACAGGCCCGGACTTCACTGCAGTGAAGATGTGACAAATTTTTGAAATACTAATATTGTCTACTTGCAGCAAGATGAAGTGGCCTCCTTTTTTTTATTTTTTAAGAAGTCTGAATGTTACCTAACGTACAAAATACTGTACAAATTAAAGCTAAAATTTATTTAAGTCAAAGTGTTTTGGATTGTAACTGTTCTGAACAGAGATACGTACCTGTGTGTACTTCCATTTCAAGACTTCAGCCCCACCCTGTTGGACAGAAATTTCTCCTTAATTCTTCATATTTATTTCCAGTCTTCCTAGAATGCTGGGTAAAAAAAAATGAAATACAACAATAAAAATATTTTTGTAATTTCTGGCAGGCTGGAACTTTAGACAGTAATAAATGATATAATTTACTGACACCATGAGAGGTATAATGCATGTCAACATCGTTCCTCTGTATATCGTCAGTATTTTCAAAGATTTCTCTCACATGTACTTAATTACTACAAGTTAGAAAAAAATATCTCCTGAAATAATAGTTTTTCTTAGGGAAACGTTAACTGAAACTTACCTTTGTCATCAGAGACTACTAACCATCAGAAGTCCTTGCTGTATTTTTTTTAATAGAAAAATGTCATTTTACAAATAATGAGTGATTATAAAATACAGTGATTGAGATTTTCTCACTGTTTAGTTCTGGAATGATAGTATTTTTATTTCCTTTCCTCTGACTGTTGGCATATGAATGATACCACCTGCCTGTAGAACATGAGGGACATTTAGGTGAGGGAGGAGAGTAATTTTGTAGACTCCCACAGCTACACTGGTATAATAAGTCTCGTCCACAGAATGTTTCAGAAATGTAGATGTAAAATATGAAATGCCGGTCAACTACAGCAGTGTAAATCCCCTATTACACTGATACAGCTTTCTTATCTTGAGGATAATTACAAGCGTAAAAGAACTACATCAGAAACTGTTTATACAACTATTAGTAACTTCCGCTTCACAAGTTTAACAATATGCTGCAGATTCCTTTATATTAACCATGTACAGCAGTTACAGTTCATCTCACTACAGCTTAAATGAAGGCATTAAGAAGTACACGTTCATTCTGAAAGTGTAACAGTACTGTCAGACAGACCAAAAAACTAGAAATATATTACTGATTATGTCAGAAATAATTTTCTTGTAGACAAGATACAAACAGAACAGGAATTTGGGTGGGACACATTGTTAGTAATCTCATCTAATCATCCAGCTACTGTTTCAAAAAAAATTCAAAGGAGTGCAAGAAATGGAACACTAATACTGTGCCTAGATTGTCTGTTCCTTGGAAAAAGTTTCACTGAAAAATAAGTCCTGGTTATATTTTTCATTTACAGACTAAGAAGATTTGGTTGTAAAATTAGAAGACATGATTTTCCTTGTTTTTGTTTTTTAATTGTTACTGTTTTTTAATCTATGATTTTTTATGATTTTTCTAGGAGACCTGCTAAAAATACTTTAAAAAAATACTATTAGGGAACCTGCAGGACTTCCAAGGAAAAAAGAAACAGGAGAATGTGAGAACAATGCTCGTATGTGTGTTTATATCACCTGTGTACAGATTTGAGAAAGCAGCAGCTCAGACAGGATTCTCACGATCTGAAGACAAAATTCAGACGGGAGTGAGAAGGATACCAATGAATCACTGAAGTGCAATGACAGATTAGAACAAGGCAGCCAGAAGACAACTTACTCTCAGGAGAAATGTCCAGGCCTGTATAAAATAGATGAAAAATACGAGTAGTAAGTGCTGTGTACATAATTGAAAGATTTAGTAATGCAGAATTTTAAGAGAAAGATTCAAAAGGTACTTCACTGCCAACATCCTCACCCTGGAACATCAGGTGCATCTTTATTTCACATTAAGTCAACTTTTAGACCAGAACCTAGACCATATATACTCCTTTCTGACTCTAGCTACTAGAAGGCTGGAATAACTGCTTACATTGTTTGTATGACACCAGACTAACAGGGAATTGATTCCCAGAAAAACATTCTTGGTTTTTCTAAAGTCTTAATATTCTATTTTAGAGCTTAACACTAAAACTTAACTTTTGCTGCTGAAAGCCACAGGTTTAATCCTTACACAGACAGCATTATTTTCATATATTGAGGCCGACATCATGGGTAGTCAAAGAATATGTTTAATAAAAAATAATTAAACTTCCATTTGCTCTATAGAACATCATAGAAAGTAATTCAATAAATTACAAATGACTTTTTAAGACGCTTGTTCAACTACAGAAAGCAAATTCAGACTACACAGAACACAACTGGCAAATATTGCAAATGTCCGAAAAAAACCTGGACTAAGACTTGGATCATGAAGCCTGAAACAAGGGATAGAAA